TTAGAAATGTCTTTATTTATCTTTAAAATATCATATTCCATAGAAAACTCGTATCTATAATCTATCATATTTTTTGATTATATTATTCTAGGATTTCATACAATATCACTATGTAAAATAAGTAAATTCACAATTTAAAAGTAATGCTGTTGATTTAAAAATTGTATAAAGCATGTATTTAAAGCAGAAAAATGATAATATTGAAATTTTCGGATTTTTTTATTAATTGAAATTGAATACTTTTTGAAAAATTTCTATACTTTTCACCGTGCAGGTACACAATTATTTTTCGATTTTTTTGGGAAAATATTAATGTTAACATACTTACGAACTTGGAAAAGTGCGAATGTCAAAAATTTTTTGACACTTTACAAAAAAATTATCGCAAAATAAACGATGGATATAGGGTTTTCAATATATTACAATATTATTTTTCTACTTATTTTTTTAAAAAGTTCAAAATTGAGAGTGGAATCACTTCTAATTTATAGTACTCTCAAAATCTTAGGTAGGGCAACGATAGGTCAAAAAGGCTTCTCTGATAGATTTCCTTGCCTTTTGGATATGCTATAATATATAGCCTAGCATGATAGGATATGATGTCAAAAGTTAAAACATAACTTAGGATCTTGAGAAAAATGAAAAACAAAAATTATATAAAAAAAGAAAAATTTTATCTAATTTGTTTTTTTGGACCGAATAAGTAATTTTATTGAATTTCAATACGACACATAGATTTTATTATTAGTAATAAATATAATGGTTTACTATTAACAAGGAACCTAAACTAATGAAAATTTGATTTCAAATATTGTATATGATTATCATAGATTACCAAAATATATTGCTATTTATGAGGATATAATATTGATTATTAGTAAATCGTATAAATTTAATAAATATACCATGAATATTGAATGAATTTCTTGATTCATAGGGGTAAAACGCGCTTTTATATGATTTAGACAGAGAATTTATGAGATGTAAATAACACAATAAAGGTTTATATTGAATATTTTCTAAAAATAAATCGAAATTATAAAAAAACAATACATTTATTCATTGAAACTACTTGGACAAATATGAAACAAGCATTCAGGCAATACTTTTGAGACTTCAACGCATCTGATAATTTTTATATAACTTCACCTCTTATGCTTAGAGTGGAGGTATTGAGATCGTATAAGTATAGATGAGCTCACATTCAGATATGATGTGTGAACTTCTGTTTTCACTGCAATTTTGAATCAGAATAAACTCAAAACAAGAATAAAATGATATACTCACTCTCTAAATGTGTTCGAGATTTAAAGTTGTATGAATAAAACGATTCATCTTTCGAAGCCTCCCATTTAATGAGAGACTTCGAAAGATGAATGTATTCATGTAGATGAAATACTATATATGACCATGTGTGATACTAAAGATATCAAAATGTTCATTTTTAAGTGCAATAGAAGGGTTATCTCTCGTAAAATCTCAATTTAAGGAAGATTTAGAAAGAACTCCTTTCCTAAGTAGATAGTGTGTGGTTTCTGTCTTTTGGTTGATCAGGAACTATGAAATTAAGTCGGACAGAAAGAAGTTCTTTCCAAAACAGACTCCAAATGAGTTGTTCGAAAAGAACTTCCTTCTGTATATGGATAATTGTAGTTACCGCACTGAAGTATGTGATTGTGATGATGGAGTTCTCGATAAATCTAAAATCGGATTAAGATTAATTGAAAACTCAAGTAATTCTTTGAAATCTTGTGTTGTCTGGCACTATAATAACCAAAGAATGAGAATATTATGTTGAATGATGAGTACGTGTGCTCGGCATTCGCCGAGCGAATTGAGTTTAACGTACTATGAAAAGTGATAAATTTGGGCTTTTTTTCCTAGGGTTATGATCTCTTCCTTTCTGCTCAATACGACAGAAATGAAAGAATGAATTTGTACTCCCTAATTGATTACTACAATCTGTATCTATCTTTAACATAGAATTAGCTGCATTGTGATTTATACTCCAGAATTATTCAATTTAAGATCAACCTCGTAAATTTTAATCATATTGCACCAATACTCCTACGTTGAGATAAGAACATGATTATACATACCAAAGCCCCATATTAAAAATCAAAATTTAGCACCTCTATTATGCAACCACATTATTCGTCGCAAATAAGTATATTTACGCATATTATGATGCATATTCACACAACTCGTATACATAAAAAGTTATTAAAATCAGACAAAATTATTGCAATAAGGAAAAAAAAACAACTTTATTATATATGTTAGTAATGAATTACAAATATTTCTACAAAGAATGCTCAATACTTCATATAATCTTCGAATATTTCTTATTACAAGTTAATACATTTTGACTCGAACATGATAAACAAAAGCTGACACGCTGATTACTACATTTATGAAAATATAGTACGTTTCCATTCATCTGTTTACTTGTTTTTGTTGGAATAAAATCATTTTTTTTTCTTTCATGAAATAAGAATTTTGCTGCGAAAGCAATATCTCTAACAATAATTAATACATTACGTCAACTCTGGAATGAGTATTTATCAAATATGATATCAAAATCAAAAATTAGTTGTTTTTTATGAGTAAAAACGATGTAAATTGATTATTTGACTAATTATCAAATACTTTGATTTTCCAAATTTTTTTCGAAATTGATTTTTTCATGTGAAAATTTAAATTGTTTAATTTCATTTTTGAAATTTTGAATTTTTTTTGGAATTTTGAGTTGATCAATTCAGCAGAATTGATAATGCTATTGCTTTAGGGCATACCACAAGGTGATGAATAAAAGGTGAACATTAACAAATTATTTTAAATCACAAATATCATCCTCATCAACTTTAATTCTAAAAAGAACTGTACTGAATTATGAAAATGCATGATTTACATTATTAAAATCTTTGAATGAAAATAGTACAAGATAAGTTTTTATTCATTTTTAATTAGATTTAAACGAAAAACTACTCCATATTAAAATTTAAGTCGAGAAATCGTATTTTGTTCTTATTTGTTAGCATTTTCTAGACATTCTAATCTTGAATTAATTTGTTACATGATATTATTAACAAATTTAACTGAAAAAATATGTTAATATGGAATAAACCATGATTATATAAGCTATCAATGCTATATATACATATGTAAAAGATTCATATTAACTCAATTAACAAAAATGATAGATTTTCATAAAGGTTCAATCTAGGTTCGTCCGAAAATTTTGATTTTTATATAGAAGACATAGTTTCATATACATAATTAAATTTTCAAACAAATTTGATCATACCATTTATTAAGCAGGATAGTATATTAATTACTATCAGTATAAAAATATAAAAATGATTATATTTAATTATTGCATAATTTAGTCAAAGAGTTATAAGCCTCAAGTGATCGTTATAACCTTCAATGCACGTATACTTTATTGATTCATAGATATTTAATCTATGTTTGACATGTTGTTGTCGTCATTCGTTTTGTTCCCATTCTTCCTAAGTTAGAATTAGAGAATACACCATCCACATCATCTAATTTGGTCCTCAGCGATAGATTGGTTCATTTTGGAGGAGTCCCATCAGACAGTTTTCGAGCACCAAATATCAAATTTTAATGTATACAAATCTTTAGTGATTTATCTCTTTTATGATGAGTAAAAGGTTTCTGCTCATCAACATTTGATTTTCGACATATATGATTTCTAATTGCAATTATTTACTTTCTTTTTATAATCTAACTCTGTGACTCATACCATAAATTAATTATTGGAAAGTGTCAATATGTTTGGCACAACGCATGGCGGAAGATACCAAACCATGCAGGGAATATGATACGTTTAAGATCTCCGAACTTTTTTTTCCAAAAATTTTCTATCGTTGCCCTACCTCTTCTTAGGTTCGGCCTCAGAAAAATTTGTGAATGAAAATTTTCTCTATATAAGTAGTGCATATTATTCTAATTAATATTTTATAAAAATAAAGTTTGAATTAAAATCGATTATTTTCCTGATTGATATCTATCCAAAGATATAAAGCATACTGTATTCATGGACATAAGAATAAAAACATATTTGTATAGTTTTGATGACTAATTTCATATTTTCGGAACTTTTTTGTTGACATTAATGATAAAAATATAGATTTAACATTAATGTATAAGACAATCATTATTTATTGCTATTGTATGAGTAATGTATATAGATAGAACCAGCTAATCTCAATATTTGATTTCAATTTATTTATTATTTTACATTTGGATCTAATTTTATAAGAAAATATAGAATGATATCAAGTCCACTTTAAAGAGAATGAAATTAAAGTCTTAGATAAATCATTTTTAATTTTAAACGGCAACTTTCCCACATGCGAGAATACTCACGAAACCATTAATCCAAGCAGTCATATATGTATTTCAACATGTAGTCTAGCTATTCTAGACGATACTGCAAAAAATATTGATAATACGTGAAGTTATTGACTCATTCATTAGATTTTTACGTTGGAACCATCGTATTAATGAATACTATAATGCACTTGGATGTACCCATTATATTGACAAGCGCTCAACTCCATTTTTCCATGATTTGATAATTCAAAATTTTATCCTGAATCAATTACGGAGCTTCTGTTTCAAATATTGAAGATATACATATTGTTATATTGTTTTGTAAAAGAATTTATAGTACTTTTTTAAAAAACCGTTTTTGCAAAAATCTCGGGAACAAAATCCCCTCAATTTTATTTGAGAAATTCGTAAACTATTCAAAATTGAGAGCCATGTTCCCGAGATTATTGCATTACTATATTTAAATAATTTATGCACCATCATAATTATAACATTATAATGGATGATAAATCAAGCACACGCAACAGATGTATTTCAGATGCAGCGCTTCTCCTTGATTTGCATCCAGATTAACATATTGTAAACTAGTGCTCACAATAATATGTCACTTTTTATTCACGTTTTTTTGAATTACCGCGATGATAAATGAAGAAAATCGGCCTCTAAGTCTTAACGACGCGGCTTTAGAGGCTAGTGGTGACAAAAATGTATACAATCTTACGGAAATTAAAGCTAAAATTCAACAATTAGCACAAAACGTCGATAATGAACAAGAAAGTCCTCCAGAAACCACAGAAACAATTCCGCAACCAGAAAACAAAGCCAATGAAGAGGAAGAGCAACATCAAGATACTCAAAAAGAGGAAGAAAATCCTCCACCACAAGAAGCACCTCCAAATAACGAAAATCCAGATAACAACTTAATGGTTTCAGCAGGGTTAGTACCAGCAAACGCCTTTGTTGATGCCATGGACATTAACGACAATAAAATTAAAGAACAGTTTCCTGAGGAAGAACAAACACACAATGAAGAAAACCAAAACAATAACGAAAGCGAACATGAAAATAACAACGAAGAGGAAAATGTCCGCGAAAAAACTACAGAAGAAAATGAACCTGAAGAAATTCACAACGAAGAAGAAAACCAGAAAGAGGATGAGCAAGAAAACAACGAGCAGGAAACATTCCAAACTGCTCATCAGATAATTTCTCCTTCATTAGAAACAGAAAATAATTCTGAGAACAATGAACCATCTGATAACGAGCACGAAGAAAATAACGTCGATACAAACGAAGACGATGAAATTATAGATGATATTCATACAGATATTAACCAAGATAAGGATACTGTTAAAATTTACGCAGGAGATGAACCTCCTAAGACTGCTCCTTTAACACAGATGCCGTCTTTAGCAAAATTACCTCCTCTTGCTACTTCTCCTGAAATTGATGAAGAAAATGCTCAACTTTTAAAGCGCTATTTGCAAAATGGAAAGTTCCCACCACATAACCAACGCGAACAACTTATTCAATACGTTCAAAGAGAGAAAATTAACGCTTTGGTTCAAAATGATTATGTCAAAGCTCAAAAAATGCATGATACAGCCACAAATCTCATGAAAGGCCTTACGATATCAGATTCCAAGGCAAGAACTCGCTCAGCGTTCCAAACATTAGAAGAAAAACTCGAAGTTGTAAAAGAAGAAATTTCTGATGCGAACAAAGCCCTCAAAAAAGCATTAAAAGAAGAGGAAATGAAACAGAATCAGCGTAGGAAAACGTTAATTGCTCAACAGAACCTAGAACTTGATGAATTTGAAGAACATTGGAATGATGAAACATTTTTGAGGATGAATTTCGCAAAACCGAGTGCAACATTGCTCCAACTTAAGAGCTCGGAGCGCCAGATGATTCTTGCTAAAATGTTTGATAGAGCTGATGAAATTAAAAAGAAATGTATCGAATTAGAGAAAAAAGAAAGCGAACAAGCACAAGAAGTTGCATATGCAGAAAGAGATAAAGCCCAAAAGAAGATAGAAGAACGACATAAGCTCGCATTAGAAGTTTTTGAGCAACATTTCAAGAAAAATATAAATACTATACAAAGGAACCATGATATTAAAATGCAAGCTCTAGAAGCAAGAAAGACTAAGTTGGAGAGTGAAATGGATGAAATGCGAAGGACTTCTACGTTGACTCCATTAAAATTATCTCCAATTCCAGAAAATGTAGAAACTGTGATGACGGCAAGAACAGCACAGAGATATTCATCATATAAATCTACCAAGAAGTCACCAATGATCACGATTAGACCTCTTGGAAAGATCAAGAGAAGAAAATTATTGAATACTGTTTGATTTTATTTGTACAAGCATATATTTTATATATTTTATTGTTTAAATTTCTAAAAAATACGATAATCATTTGTTTTCAAATAATTTTTTTCTGAAAATATTTTCCGATATCGTTCGAAAACAATATAATCGCTACTGGTTAGTTTACTTACATATTGATTCACTAAATAAGGCCTTTAGCTGATCGAATTTTTTGACAAATTCAGATTCTTGTCTAAGCCATAAACTATCGATTATACTGTCTTTGTGGGAGATTGTGTAGAAAGTAAAGATACAAAGTAGCATCTTATAAAGGAAATTTAATCAAATATGAAGTAATTACGACAGAACAAAAGATCAGAAAAAGGTTTGAAAAATGGAAACACCACCTAAAAGTACGCATTAAGCACGATTTCGCTATTTTTTATAGCGCAGAAAGAGTCAATATTCAATTTTGCTTCACAAAAATTGAATTCTCTTGGATACATTTAATTGAAAATTTACTTACTGAATTCAAATTTTGTTCTATTAAAAATAGTGGTAAATGAAATTATATTATTATGTTATTATAACAGTTCTTGAATTTTGTATTGTAACCATTGAATTGTATTCAAGAACATTAATTGAAAAAAGGTACATTGCTCGTACACATGTTATCATCAATATTTTATCAAAATTTTGAAAAAAAATAACAGATCAAGTATTTCAAAATTTAAAGATCTGACAATGGAGATTTCGATATCTGCTCCATACGAGAAGCAGCTTAAATTCGATCTGAAAGACGATGTAACTGTAGAGGAACTCACAAGAGAGATATCAGATGCGATAAAGATCCCAACTCATACAATTCAGCTTTTTCATGAAGATATCCCTTTAAAACCAGAAATGACCATTGAAAAAGCATCTGACTTGAAGGTGACAGCCAAAATCAATCTCGACATCCCACCTCCCGTATCCGATTCTAAAATTGTTTCGGATGATTCATTCAAAAGGAATACAGCTTTTTTAACGGATATGTATTTTTCACCGACCAATGTTGAGAATGCATTAATTGCATCCAAAAATGATGTCGAAGTTGCGATTTCGTATTTACTTGCTCAGCCAATAACAAAGATCACAGAATCATCCAGTAGAAGTGACGAAGATGCAATCAGACTTTATGATGGAGAATCAAGTAATGATAGCTCTCAAGAAAATTCAAATGAAATTTCTCCTGAAAGCCCAAATACATCCGATAGTGACAAAACCATTCCCCATCCATCTGAAACAGCATTACAAGTAGTAAATTATCCTAAACCAAACCAAGATTCCATATATTTATCTATGAAACAACATATATTGTCTGTTTTAAAGAGCCAGAGCCAAATTGATGACGAAGACAATGATAAGGAGCATGAATGGACCCCAGAGGAAGACAAAAAGCTTACTACTCTCTATGAAGAAAATGTAATGAAAGATAATAAGTGGACAACTCTTCAAGAAGCATTCCCTGATATCAAATTGTACGAAATTAGAATCAGAATCATGCAACTATCACTTGATAATCTATCATCACGTTCAAAAAATAAAGGAATTACAGAATCAGACAAAACAAAGGCCCAAATTGTTGAAAAACCACCTGAAACTACATTTAAGTTCACTGAAGAAGACATGAGATTCTTCTGGAAGCTGATTCTCCATAGAGGAACTCCATTTGAGAAAATGGATTACATGAAAGACCGTTATAAGACTCATACAGAAGAAGAATTAAAAACAATGTACATGGATGCATATAATATCATCATGTTCAAGTCAAAACATTTCCAAGCATTGAAATATTCAGATTTCATGACAGTTAGTCAGATTCCTGAAGAGTTATTGATGCAAGTATATCTTAGTATATACGAAGTGAAGAACAAATGGTCGTGTTACAAGAAGATATTCCCGAATGTCGACGCGATATCATTAAAACAAAGAGTCAAGAAACTTTTGAAAATCGAAAAAACCGATCAACAACTACAAGAAAAAAGAGATACATCAGGAGACAAAAGGAAGGAACATTGGCCAAGAGAAAGAGAACAACAATTCATTAACATGATGGCAACAAATAAAAGAGATTGGCAACAGATCTTGCAAGTAAATCCAAATTACAATCAACACACATTAATCATGAGATTCTATAGACTGATAAAAGCATATAGAGAAGTATCTCGTCCTGATTTAGTTTTCCCTAAATCTTATTTAGAAAAAATAGAAACAAGAGGTTTAGGAAAGAAACCTAATTCATCATCAGAAGAAGCTAATTCAACAAAATCTGCTGATGAAGAAAATAAAACTAATGAAAATAAATCAGAAGAAAATCAAGCTCTTGATGAAATGACGAATTTAGATTTCGGTTTCATTGAAGAGAATCAAATGAAATTTACTACTTCTAAGAAGATTCTGCTTCCTCAAATTGCAAATCTGAATTCCCCTGATACTGATCCGAATTTGTCTGCAAAACAAAGATGGTCTCCACAAGAAGACAACAAGTTACTGAGAGTTTATGATAGATATAAGAACGAAAGAGACAAATGGTTGAAGATTTTGTGGTTCTTCCCAACAAGAACAAGTGGAAGTCTGATTAATAGATTAAACAGATTAAGACATGGATTAATTAAACCAAAGAAACAACTAAATGAAAATGGAGAAGAAATCACTAAAAATGAAGAGGAAGAAGAAGAAAGTGAAGAACAAAAAGTTGATCAAGAATTACCAGTAATTGTTGATGATAAAGATCAACCAACTCCAGAAATAGAAAAACCAAAATCACAAGAAATAGAAGAAGAAGTAACAAAACAGTCAGACATTGTTAATATGGGAATTATTCCTATTGAAAAGGAAGAATTAATTGTTAAATATCTCAAGAAGATAAATAAGTATTCTAAAAATGATTCATTATGGGATGAAAAGAATGATCAATTGCTGTTAAAGAAATATGTAAAAGGTGAGGATATCTATGAAGAGTTTAGTTCAGTGTCTAAAATTGCGATTTCATCCAGATTGAGGTACTTGAAGAAGATTCTTTCGAATCCAATTTCATCTGAAGAAGCTCATGTTTGGTTATCAGACAAAGACAGGAAAAAGATCGGATTACCTGTCTTCAATTTCAAGATGAAGAAATTGGAAGAAGAAAGGCCAATACAAATGAAGTTTTATGATCTCTCTGAAATTGTTGCAGACTAATTCTATTATTGTTTATAAAATATTTTTTATTTCTTATTAAAATTATTTTTTTATTTGAAGCAGCTAAACCATTTTCATCTAGCATATTCCAATCTTGCATAACCAAATTCATTGCTAAAAAATCTCAAAAATTTAAAGTATATTTTACATAGTTTAAGTCTCCTTAACACATAAAATCCAAGAAAACTAAGAATATCTCTATGAAGCGTTTATTGATGTTGACTATAATAACTTGTAATATTCGAGATTGTCTTTGTCCAATCTACTTATTTTGATTTTGATATCTTATAACATTGGATATAATGTCCTCTTTAGCCAATCTATTGACATTGATTATGATTTCAGATTTATTACTAGGAACACCAGTTATTTTTTATAAGTAATTGGTGTTTGTTCACAAAATATTGTTCAATTCAATTTCAATCACATATAGGAGATTTATGTTTTCTTGTTGATTTGGAAATATGTCATTAATGATAATTAAAAAGAAATATAGTTTTTATAATTTAATAAAATAAAACAATGCATTGTTTAATTCTGTTTACTAACTTTTTCGTCCATCAAATCATTCATTGAATTGACAGTTGTTGGGCCTTGTTTTCTTCTTGTGAAAACAACAATGATTACAATCAAAATTATAATCAAAATGACTGCAGTTGTAACAGTAGAAATCAGTATAACTTTACTGTTGTTGTCCACTTTAAAGTTGTGATTTTCTCCAATATTTAATTTCAGTTCAGAAATGTAACAAACAACTCCATCAAACAAAACTTTCGAATCATCAATACTGAAATAAGGAGCATGCTTTAGACCGTATATAATTATCTTGTTACAGATAACTTCCTTCTTGTAATCACCAGAAACTTCAATATTCATTTCATTCGGATGGAAACTCATATTAACTCTCAAAAATTTGTTTTCTTTGTAATCGAATGTTTCCATGTCATCGAAATACAGTGTTCCTTGTGAATTCATGTCTTCATCTACACTAATAATGAGTGTTATTTCATTATCAACAGTTTCATGAACACTCATTCCTATCGATGAATAATTCGCAGTTATTGTTCCTTCGCGAATAAAAACAAAAATGTCATCATATTTGTTGACATCGAATTTCGTGTCTTCAGTCAATTCTTTGCCATTTCGAAGGTTGAACCATCTGCCAGGAGGTTTAACTACTTCTATTTCTGTCTGGTTCTCTTCTAAAACAGGGCAAATCATCATTCTTCCGCCAACTAATGGTTGATATTTCGCAGTGTTTTTCTCAAAAACTTCTTTAGGAAATTCGAACCAAAGAGGACGAGCGAAAGGAATTCCGGTGCGAACAGTTTCTTCCATTGCTGTATAAAAGAAAGGAATAAAGGAATATCTGTCAGAGATCGCTTTCTTGAGACTTTTGTACATATCTAAATCTGTGTTGTTGAAAAGATATGGTTCTCTATGTACTGTGTCTGTATGCGAATGTTCTCTGTACAGAGGATATAAAAGTGATCCTAATTGGAACCATTTCAAGAGTAATTCGTCGGTTGTGTTTTCCATGAATCCGCCGAGGTCTGATCCTGAAAAGAACATGCCATTTATGTTTGTAGTCAACAGGGAATCAATGGATTGGCGATAGGCTGACCATGTAGGGTAATTATCGCCGGACCAATGCCATGCAAACTTTTGTGAACCGGCAAAGTAAGATCTGGTAAGAACAAATGGCCTTTTATTGGGTCTGTTCGTCATAAATCCTTTAAAAGTGCCTGCTGTCATGGATAAACCGTAAATTGAGTGTATTTCACGATTTTCTATCGTATTGTTGAGATGAAGAGAGTCTTTTGGAAGAGTATTATCAATGCTGGTCCATGTTGAAGGCTCATTCATGTCATTCCAGGCGTAAATGTTTTCTGGATATCCGAAATCTGAAGTGAACTTAGAAGACCACCAATCTCTGACATCGCTTCTGAGGAAGTCAGGCCAAGCACTGTTTCCTGGCCAGCACCAATCCTGAAATTCAGAATTATTATATTGAATCAAAAATCCTTTTTCGACGCATTCGTTGTATGGAGCGTAATCAGCATCGACTTTCATATGAGGATCTGTGATTCTTATGAGTCCTCTTTTTGTATTTTTGAATTTATTAAATAATTTTGAAGAATTGTCGAACCATTCGCTGCTCATTGTTAATGGTGTTTGATGGTCAAGATGATCTATGTCTAACCAAAACCCATCATAAGGAATATTAGAAATTGTGAAATTTTGCATTACTTCTTCAACTTCTGTTTGGTTCTTATATCCCCATTTGCTCTGATGATAACCAAGAGCCCATCCCGGTGGTAAATTAGGTCTTCCTGTTAAATCTGTGTATTGCTTGAAAAGTTCTGTGAAATTTGCAATGAAAACAACGAAATCAATGTATCCACCTTCTGATAGTAATCTTACATTGCGATATATTGACTTAGTTTGAACAGAATAAAAAGTATCAGAAGGATTCATCCAAAAAACAGCAGGAACGTATTCTAGTTTGTGTCCACGGGCAAATAGGAAAGGAACAAATGAATATTGCAGTATTAAATTAGCATCTCGTGCGAATCTTCTTGTTTCTTTTGTATCTTCAATATCTAGCGTCATATTATCAATGGATAATCCAGATAATTGTGCTGAACTATCAAAAGTAAATGAGATACCGACCGATGTCTTTCCATGAGGTATTTTCTCTGTTTTGTCTTGCCAAACTTCATCTGGAACAGAACTGCCATCTTCGACTACAAAGAAGGGATCTTTGGAGAAAATATCAATGTAGTTCATCACTCCCTTTTTCATAGATATTGAAAGTGGATTTGGAGAGATTTGGATCGTAAAATCATCGTATTTTAAGAAATGATTGCCTGAATGATCAGTACTGTAAGAGATATCATCTAAATCAGTGAACTTTGATTTATTGACAATTAAATCATCGTGAAAAATGTCATATCTGTATTTTGACTTTTCATCTGGGAGTTCTACAAAAAATCGAAAGCCATTATCGTGTAATTTCGATATTTTGAGGACATTTTGCGTATCTTGGTTGTTGTTTAAGATCTTTGCCGAAAAAATTTGATTTGAATATTTTGCTTCTGCAAGTGAAAAAGTGTTTTCTGTAACATTCCACAGATTCTCACGGCAGAATCTCATATCTGAGCAGTTGCGAAATGTGGTAAAACAAATTATATGAAAAAACATGATCTTATTTGAATAATTATTTGAATTCTAAAAAGTGACAAAACAAATGAAAGCTTAAAAATAGTGTTATTTGCATATTATATAAAATTATCTTATTTTGAAATTTGAGATGATCGGAGTTTATCAATTTTCCAACAATAAATCTAGAATGAATTTCGGGGTAATAATGAATTCTCACACGCCAAAATGATATAGCACACCAACAAAATCACCGATTATCTAAAAAATCGAGAAAAAAATTGCGAAATGTTGTTCATATCTAAACTTGCAGAAAATATACATTTAAACTATAAATATGCTCATTATCTATAATTTACCTTCTGGTTTGAATTTATTATGAGAGGTTCCACAGATCTTCGAATGTTAGTAGGTAAAAGTGGCTTTATGACATTAGGTTTGATGGATGATGAACCTATCAGAATGTTTTATTAGTAAAGTTTCAACCTGGTCAAATATTGAACAAAATTTGGTCGAAATCAAATTCTTCAAATAATATTTTTTTACAGACTTCAAAAACTAACAAAATATGTCTCAAAACAGATTTTGTTGATGTTTCGAACTTGATCATTCTTTTGCTCGATACTATAATTAGAAATAAAAAAGATGCTGAATCATTTCAAAAAATATAAATCTAATATAATTTATAACAAAAAAATTATGCAATATAAGTTGGTTTGATTGCAAAGATGAATGGTGAGAGTTTTTCTGCTGCTTCAGATGTCAAGTTATCGTTGTATCTCTGCCAGAAAGCAGAGAAGAATCGAGTGCAAAGTTGGTTCAAATTCTGGTTAATTTCTGAACCATCAACGATTGCAGTCATTGCATCAATAACTTCATCAGAAACTTTGTCAACAATAGTTTCAGAAAGGGCTATTGCCATCAAACCGCGAATAGGACCGATTCTAGTGTCAACAATCTGTCCTTCACTGTCATCCCTCTTCATGCGACTCTTCTGTGGCGATTTCGATTTATTCTTCGAATTCTTTTTGTCACTTTTTACAATTGGATCAGGATGGAACAATTTTTCACGGAATTCATCAACATACTTTCTCTTTAATTGCTCGAAGTACTTAATGTTCTTGAAGCAGTTCTTAAGGAGTAACATTGCTGCTTCTCCGACATTTGGATTATTTGAGAAAATCGAGAATTTGATGATGTATTTTTCCAAATAATTTTGAATCAAAACAGGGTCAATCAAATAAATATTATTCATTATAAATGGCATGACCAAACTGATTCTTATACATTGAGTACTCCAATGCAGATCAGGTGTTGGAGCGAATTGTTCCAACATGCCTTCAAACAGCTCTTGTATTTCTGCTCTATCAATTTTAGGATTATCATCTAAAAGAGTCAAAACAGAAATCTGCATTTCATCAATATCATCTGGATCTTTGTTTTCTAGATCAGAAACAATTGCTTCAATGTTATTGGCAACTAAGTCATAGAGGAAATAAGTTAATCCAGCTGCATCAGTAAATGCTTTCTGAATGAAATCATAGATGAAATCATCATCGCAAGCCATGATGTTTTCGTAGAAGAAATCTTCAATTTCATCGTGAAGATCCAAATAATTCATTTGGATGAGGAAATCAACAGAACATCCAACAACAAGTTTCCTGGAATAATCTAAACTCAAACACTTTGGATCAAAGATTTCAGTGAATCTTGGCAAAAGAGATAAAAGAGATTCTTTGTCATGGGAACACAAAACAATCAAACTCTTGAGAAGATCAACTTTTTCTCTTGTCTTCTTTGTCAATGAATAATTGGAAGGAGGTTCAATCTTTTCAAGGATTTCTCTGAGCCAAAAGAATCTTCTTGGATCTTTCCTTATAACTAAGAAAGAAATAGCTTCGGACCATTTGAATTCGCCATCTATTTCGTATGATTTAGAAAGAACTTCTGCAAGTTTATCATAAACTTGTTTGATTTGTTTGCTGCTGAAATTGGAAAGACCTGTAATTACTCCGAAAATCAGTTCGTTTCCTGTGTATTGAACAATTTCTGTGTTCAATTTATTTATAAATGATTTTGCAACATTGAGAGCTTTGATCGCAAATTCAGGACCAAACAATCTTGTCAAAGATTGCCAAGTAGAAATATGTTCAAGGAAGAAGTCAAATTCTTCGTGATCTCTGACATCTGAAATTGTTTGTGTTGTGTTCTTAATGAATGCCTCGTTGTTGCATGTTTCATTCAATAAATTGTAGACTTGGATACGTTCTGAAACTCTTTCTTCGAAATATTTTCCAATATTTTCTTTGTAAATGTCTGGAGTCAAAATAACTCCTTTCTTTCTATATCCAATATATGGCTTATTATCTTCAAACTCTATACTATCAAAGTTATCCCAATTAACTTCTCTATTTGCTGAATCATCTTCTGCTTTTTCATCTGTCACTTTTTGATCATTTGTCACTTTTTGATCAGATTTTTCTTCTGTCACTTTTTGATCAGATTTTTCTTCTGTCACTTTTTGCTCAAATGGCAATTTTTCAGCAACTTTAATTCTTGGAATTAATCTTTCCATTGTTGAAAAGAGTAGTTGCATTGCGAAAGATCTTGTTCTTAGTTCAGGAGATGTGATGTGCTTCAAAAGGAAACTGACAAGTTCTGTGTCAAATATTCCATTTCCGATAACCCTCAAAATCCAAATTGTGTAAATTTCAATGTCACTATCCATTGGATACAACATTGATTTGGAAATCAGTTTCTTGATGAACTCCAATTTCTTTTCATAAGTTGTATCTCTGCTGAAAATTCCCATATCAAAGTCATCAATTAAATGATACTGAGCGCAGTGGATAATTTCGCCGGAATCATCCTTTGGAACTGGAGTACAAAGTGATAATAATGCTTTTGTAACATTGTCAAAGCCGTTTTCAGAATGAGAAACCGTCATAACCATTACATTTGCAGCAGTCGAAGAAGAAGACAAATTCGAACCGTTTTCAACAGATTTTTCGAATGATTTGAAGGCTTTTTGTGAGAATTTACTGACTTGACGTTGGAAATTCTTTGAAATCTGGCAGGCAACAACAAAATTAGTTACACTTACTGATACAGATTTATGAATAGAAGCTGCGAAATCCATTATTTTTTCGTAAATCCTTTCTTGGAATGTTGTATAAGGTAACTGTGTGAATGCAAGCAAATTCGCATATTCTTTAACAGCAAAGAGATAAATAATATTCGATAGCATGCAACTATCTCTATCAAGTATATATTTGAGGTTGTAATATGTATATCCTTCATGATATCCTTTTTGTAATTCTTCAGAATTTTTGGCAACTTCATCCAAAGGAGCGAAACAATCAGATAATGTGTTAATTATCTTTGATTGTACACTAGGATGTTGTTCTTCAGTTAAATTCTCCAAAAGCCAATCAGTAATTTCAACAAAAACTTCAGAAATTTTCTTTGAAGTGTTATTTTTCTGGAAAATTATGTTGAAACCTCTGTTTTCTCCTAAACAAGCTGGATCTACACCTCCTGACAAACCATTAATAATTGCATGGACGAATTTGATGCTTTCGATTTTCTTTGTTCCTTTAGCTTTATTGAAAATTTCCTTAGCCTTTTCGAAGAAAAATTTTGCGTATTTTACAGCTGTGTCGAATTCTTCTTCAGAAGGTTCATGCCATTTCAAGAACTGTTCTGTGAGTTTTTGAGGACCAAGAACTCTGTTTTCGAAAGGATATGATAAAACAAAACTTCTAAGATACCATTTGACGCAAGAATAACTCAATTTCTTAATTTTCGCATCATCTTTTTCAGCCATTTTAATGAGAAAATCAGCAAGTTCTTGTGTACTCAAAACATCGAAAATAGGGGAATCTCTTATCAAACAACAAAGCACTTTCATGTCTTTGTCTGTTGGATTCTCTTTCAGCAATGATTTGGCCATCGAAAGTGGTGATAATTCATCAATAAACGGTGCAATACATGAACGTGGTAATGTTGTGTAGACTTCAGCAATATATTTTTCGACTTCATCTTTAATTTCATCTTTCAAATGGTATTTCAAAGCAGAGAGCATTGCAATAAGATTTGTCATTGCTGACTTTAAATCTTCTCCTTCGCATGAAGCTGCAAATTCAACAGATCTTCGTAAAAGTGTCATAATAAAGTCAATTCCATAATATTTTTTGATATCACACATCAAAAATATTTCGATATACATACTAAAAATAGTTATGCAAAGATCAGGATCATTTGAAGATATATCTTCTACGAATGATTTTGTGTTCTCAATCAATCTGTCAACCTCGTAATTCTTGAGGAAAACAAGAGGTGCAACTAATTGGAAACAAACTGCGGCGCTTCTTCTAAAATGTGAATATTGGGATAATTGTTCTCCCATCGAAAAAAAATATGGTAATGAAATGTCAGGACAGACTTGTACAAAATAAGGAAGTTCCCTTAAAAAGTCGGAATAAGAGTAAAATTCTTTTCCGAACAATTCGATAAATGTTTTAACGAACCATCGAATTGTTTCATCAGAAATCTTTTGGCCTTCGAAATTTGGTTTCTTCTGTTTACTGAGTCTTTTCAAAAACTTTTGAAGAAGGAAGTCAATGAAGTTGTATGCGCCCATTGGCTCTTCATCAGATTCTGAAGAATCAGGGAGATAAAGTGGTAACAATGAATGTAATAATTGTTCCAAATGTTTTTTCACTTCATCAGCGTATTCTGTTGCCAACAAACTGATGATAATTATTGCATATGATTTCTGTGATACTGTTGGATCTTTTAAGTTCATGAATTCGTCGGAAAAGAAGTTGTCTTCTTTGCTGTTTCCGTCTTCACTTTGGTTTCTTCGCAAAGGAACACCGATGTTTTGTGAAAGTCTGTGGAAAATAAATGGAATGTACTTAGACCAATTCGCTTTCTTGCCAGAACGGAATGCAATGGAAAGCTTTGATACAAAGATAGTGTCTGCATCCATGGAAGGCCAATGTGACCATTGTTCGAAGAAGAATTCTATCCATGATTCTGGATCTGCTCTTGTAACTGGTAATAAAGCGATAAGAAGTATGAGATGGTTCGAGTCATTGCCTGATTTGGGGTGAACGATGTGTTCCTTGAAAGTATTAATGATATTATCGACTTCATTTCCATCAAAGAAGTAGGATAGGTCTATAACGAGAGAGATGAGTCCACAGTTAATGTTAACGATGGGATTTGGAATATCTGGTCTTAGTTTTGAGTTTGAAATCACGTATTTGTAAATAAGTTTGTAAATTGGTTGCCAATCAAGAGTAATATCGAAACAATCGTTGACTATTGCAAGAGCTAATAAACATGAATATTGATTTGAAACAAAAACTAGAATCGGGAGATAAAATTCATCTCTAAAAATGTATTTCGTCAAGTTATCAATAAGAAAGTATAGCTCTGAAGTATCTAGAGTGTCTATGCCTGTTCCAAGATATGTTTTGAGATTTTGGAAGAAGTCTAACACCATGGACGGATCTTTTTCTGAAATAAGTCCAGTTACTTTAGAAAGAAGTTGCTCTTTGATGAGTTTCATGGTTTTTACGGCGCCTTCTCTCACATAGGGAGGTAAAGCAAGCCGCTTCCTCTGTGCAGATTCCTCACAGAGAACGACCATTTTTTTTTTTCTAAAGCAAAAAGGATTTTGAAAATTTTGGATTCTATTCATTATCGTTATTACAACAACCTGTCTGAGAAATTAAAAACTCCTTATATTTGCTTAATTTTGCATCAAAAGCGATAATTGTTCGAATTGGTGAAAAAGATGTATTACCCAGATTTTCCTTACTTTTACCACCTCTCTAAAGCTGGGGACACCGCCTATCGTTGGGAGTAGCTATTAAATAGAACCACCAAGGGTATTTTTCGAACTGCCGGTGTAGTGGAAACATCCGACATAATGATTCATTATGCCAAGGTTTGATTCCCATTTAGCCAATTTTTTTCTTTTTTGGATCATGAATTTTTTTTGGGTCACTATAAGATTTGTTTCATGTTCTAAATCTGCTGCATATGTAATCTATTTTTATTTACCTATTTTTTAAAATCTATTGGATTGCCAAATTTGAATATATTTAAAATCATAAAACTCCAAAAAAACTATAAATATATGTTTTATGCATAGTGCCGATACTCAAATATCAGATTACTTAGATCCATGAATAATATCCGAATTTTTTTTCTTAAAATTAAACTTCAAAACTTCTTGCAATCTTATTCTTAATCAATTGTAAATTTTTAAAACCATTTTTTAAAATAATTTTGCGTAAATTTTATTCTCATGTTGTTTTAATCGAAAATTGATACATTTTCAAAAAAATAATATTGACTTATGAAATTCATTTTTAAGGTGAAATAGTATTGTTTTTATTAAAGTATATGAATAATATATAAAAAATTAATGAATAATATAAGCAGATTTTTGGTTTACAAAACAAATATGAGCAATGCAATTTCAAACTTTTGCTGGCAATTTCGATATTGCTCAAGTTTGTAGTATTTGTGATACCTATAACATCGGCTTAATCAAAATTCGATTTTTCTTATGAGTTATTGAGAAAATTTGATTGCAATGAGAAGGATTTCGACGTTTTTGATAAACTAAGAGCTGAGCTTTAGGGGTTCAGTTCATTTATGGCTGTAGTTTGATGCGTAGATCTCTTTTTTATTGTAAATTCTTTCAGCATGGAGATCGAGAATGAATCTTTTGAGAACTTTATGAGTTTTTACACCCGTAAAGAGGTCCTTCTAGGAAAGATAGTCCAGACTACATGAAGATGTGGGTTAACCAAAAAAATCCGATGGTTTCCCCATATTCATGTAGATCTTCGAAAAAATGAGCACCAAAAAAGCCAAAAAAATAGGCTTTTTATTGGATTTGTACACTAGATCAATAATCTATTTAGGATCTGACACTCTTTTTAGCCAGAGATATGAGGTCCTTTCTAGGAAAACGATCTATTCATCCATAAAAAAAATGAATTATCGTTTTCCCCAGAAATTACATGGGGAGTGGTAAAAGTAAGGAAAATCTGGGTAGTATATAAGACGAAAAGCAGTTTAAATCAAATAATTTTGCTGGGTGTGGATAATTTCAATGACGAAAACTTCCCAAAATGGAAGATTATGTTATAAAAAATAATAAATAAAAAAAGAATTCCAAATGTTAATGGAAATGAGAACTATGGGAAAGAGTGATTATGTATGCTCAATATAAATTGTTATTAATAGATTCTGATCTATTTCTTGAATAAAGACTATAATAACGATGAGTCGGGGTAATTTTAGCTAAAAGTGACACGCCTGTAAAAAGTGACACACCCGTGAAGGATGTGATTACCGATCGGTAATTTCGACAGTTTAGAATTTAAAATTTTTTATGGAACTGTTGCGAGTTTCATAAAGAATTTAAGGAATATAAGCAAAGATTTGAATCAAAATCTTAGACCTAAGCCGCTCGATTCGCTCGCGGCTTCCGCGAATTACAGATCAGCAAAGATTTGAATCAAAATCTTCGAACTAAGCCGATCGCTTCGCTCGCGGCTTTCTTTATTATTTTAAATTTGCATATTTCCATCAAAAGTTCATAAGGTAAAAAATTTCGTTTATTTTTACTAAGAAAAAAAAGGTTTTTGATAATAAATTTATTTTATTTCGAAAAAGTAGCAATAATCGTAAAAGGGTATTGATAGGCTTGCTAAAGTAACTAATTTTAGCTGTCAAATACTTTTGTATTTTGAAGTAAATTAGTATAAATTTGTTTTTACTTTTATTTCGAAAAAGTAGCAATAATCGTAAAAGGGTATTGATAGGCTTGCTAAAGTAACTAATTTTAGCTGTCAAATACTTTTGTATTTTGAAGTAAATTAGTATAAATTTGTTTTTACTTTTATTTCGAAAAAGTAGCAATAATCGTAAAAGGGTATTGATAGGCTTGCTAAAGTAACTAATTTTAGCTGTCAAATACTTTTGTATTTTGAAGTAAATTAGTATAAATTTGATATTATTTTAACTCCCTTTGAAAACCTCAATTTTCCATACAGAGGGAACGGGAATAGCATCCAATATTCCCTGAGAATGGTTGCGCATTCTCAGTTCCCTCTATATTTCGAACGAAGCTCTCATCGGTCTTTTTTTTTAATACTAAACGTTTTTTTCCCCTGTCACTTTTAGCTAAAATTTGGGTTTGCCTAATAACGATGGAATAGGAATTCATGTTAAATTATTTTAAAAATTTAGGAATTAAATGCGAAAATTGAAAAAAATAGTAAAAATTATATTATTAAAAAAAAATTAAAAATCATGAAGAAAATGAATTGATATGAGAAGCCATTTCGTATTAACATCAAAATTCGAACACAATCCCCAAAAATAATATTATTTGAACATAGTTAAAATTATGAATCAATAATTAATGCGATAGTGACACAGTAACACCTTGTAAAGTTACATGATAAAAATCGATTTTTTTTCAAATGATTTCGATTAAAAATATTGGAAATAACTTGAGAATTGTGTTTGGAATAACTTTATAAAGATGTTTTGATGTCGAAATTTGCAATAGCAAAAAAGGCAAATTAAGACTAACTGATCCAATACGAATATTACAGTTCAAAAGGATTATTGAGAAGTGAAATCATTTTAAAAAATATTTTAACATTGGATAAAGCATTTCGATATCAGACAATAATATTTAAATGAAAAATAATTGTGAAAATTATCGTGATCGAAAATTTTGAATCAAAGTTCCTGAATATCGTATTTGCTAAAGAATTTGAACAACAAAATTTTTATTGAAAGGTTATACATTGAAAGGAATGGAAGTATTCAATTTTTCAAATCTTTAAAATGTTTTATTTCAAATTATTTAATTGTATTATATTTTATTATTATTGACAAGAAATTCAAATGTATATAATTGAATTGAGATAGTCATTCAATTTTAAAAATTTTGATGAAATTATTAACACCAATAAAAAAATTCAAATAAAATCTTGGAGTATTATATCAAAATACTCCATGCAATGCAATTATCATAACTAATTATCATAAAATTTAAATTCATTTAAACGATTCAAAACCGTTGATAGTTTTTAAGTTGGACGCCTAAAAATTTTATCCATATATACATACAAATACAATTCTAAAATTTCATTTTCTATCGTAAATTTACTCAACTCAAGCCTTCAATGGCAAATCTCAATAACAATTTTAATCACAAAATGCATGCATCTAAAATACCTAAATTGAAAATATGTTGAGTTGAATAAACTTCACAAATTTTCTGATAACAGGAATATTCAACGTTCAAAGCAATTAATCGATTAAATGGAATCTCCCAAGCCCAAGGTTGTTTTCATTGGAGATCCAAATGTCGGCAAAAATACGCTTTTCCAATACATCCAGAAGATCGGATGTGAAGATAAAACTTCAGGAATTATCGGAACAACTCATTTTACATTATATTTTAATCAAGGAGATCAACAATTTGATGTAGAATTTTGGAATGCAGCATCTAACAGTTATTTCTCTGCTATTATTCCAACATATCTACACAACGCGAGTTATGTATTTGTAATTTTTGATACATCTAATAGAGATTCATTTAATAACCTAAATAAATGGTTCGAATACATCCAACAGTATGCATTATCAACAACGAAAATATTCCTAATTGGAAATAAAACTGATAAAAATAATGAAATTTCAAATGAAGACGTTCAAAACTTTGCTAAAAATAGGGTTCACTTTGACTATACCGAAGTTTCTGCTTCGTCGGGTTCCAATGTTCAATTATTGCTAGAAACTTTGAAAAAGTCTGTATTTTCCAATCCAGAATTCAAATCAAATACTGTCAATATTCATGATCGTAAAATCAATAATGCTCAAAGGGCAGCATCATGTCGAATTAATTGATTAATTATTTTTATATTTATCTGCTCGCTTATTCTACCGTATTGTTTGTAATTTATTAACATTCGTTTTATACTTTTTAGTTAAATTTATCATGTAAAAATTATATTTAGTTTTAATTATCTTTAGGAAATTAATTTACGGAGCAAAATACTTTTTCCTGTTATCATTATATTCATTCTGAAATATTATTTCCTTTGCTTTACGATATCTTTATTGAAACCTTTCTATAAATTGGCTGAATGTGAATGGGAGCTATGGAACATTATGTCTAAAAACTTAAATATAAACTCATCCATTGTTCGTACAATTGATCATTCCTAAATAAAAAATAATATTTTTATAAATTAAATCAAATAAAGTTACAAAACTTAAGATAGAATTTTTTACATATTAAGACAAAAAATAAATATAACATAAAAGGAAATTGAAATTAATAAAATTAATTTTCTAAACATCATCAGTTACATCTAGACTTTGATTGAACAATCTGTGTGTTGAAAGGAGTTTTCTTCTTTCGTAGCTCCTCTTTGCATAGAAAATGATCTTGTATGTGGAAAATGCGAGTAATACGACAAAAATTACAGCAGAAATGGAAATCAAGACAATCATCCATGTCTTTAGCTTTGATTTTGCATTAACATTATAAAGAGAAATGCAAAACATGTCAGGATCTGCGATTCCTTTGGAACATTTAACTTCAAACAATTTTGTAACGTTTGGATTCTTGCTGTTTAAAGAAGTAGCCCAATTAGCACATGTCAAATTGGGAGAACAGAAAATATCTATCTGAAACTGCTCTTCAATTTTAATAAAATCAGCAGATTCGGTTGAATCCACAAGAGCAATGATTCCTGCTGAATCTTCTGACATGTATGCAATAATAAATGGCAAGTAGTTGTATACAAACTTTATAGAAATGTTAGTTGGATGATCATTTTCTAATAAAGTGAAAGAAGTTATTGATTCTGGCTCGAACTTGATCATACTTGTATTTACACTAACAATATTTTTCTTTGTGCTATCAGATGTGAATTCTTCAGCTGCAATTTCGACATCTTTTCCTTTTGAAGAGGAACTAACGCCCATTGACAGCTTTTTGACTGCAAACGATGCTTCTTCAAGGAATTCGGTATCATTCTTCGTAATTAATTCGTAAAGATACAATTCGGTTTCATCTGGAACGAAAACTTTGGAAGTTTCTAATTCTAATGATAGCGGAACGATGCCATTACTATGGATAAATACAATTGTGCCTTGCCATTTCATCCTCGTCGGTTCTTTTGTCACATCAAATTTGTTAATTAACGATTGAACGTAAATTACACTGTCAAGGTTATCATTTGACATACTCAACTTACTATAGTATTCTCCTTTGATGATAAAATCTGCATAAACTACATTAGAAATCTTGATTTCGATGTTTGATTTCATATTAAAGATTTTTTCATCAACTGTTATGTTGTAATCTGTTGCAACAATGTTTTTGACGCGTTCTGTAAACAAAACAATGTAATCTACCTGTTGAATATCAAAAGTATAAGTTGAATTCTTTGTTAATATTAATTTGGAGGATTTAAGTGATGTCAAACCAAATATATTGCTTCCACTTACAATAAAATGGTCAATACTTGCCTGATCATTGACAAAATTTACATTTAGGTTATAAATTGCTAAAGAATCAATAGCATTAACATCTAAATTAATTGTAACGCTTTCATTACCACCAATAAAGTGCAAATTTGCTAAATTTTCAGCTATTTTAATTGGTTCTTCAATAGATTCTGGAAATGCAACGTAAATCATGCCTATTTGCGAATCGGAGAAGTTAATATCCTCGATTTTGGCCATGTGGTAATGCTCTGGACACAAAGATTCATTAGCTGAAATACAATAATAATTTGGAAGTTGAATTTGGCTTTTTGTTACAGATAGATATGATTTACTGCCATTTCTAGTGAATGTTGGACTAAAATTATAAAAATTTTCACCATCTCTTGTCTGAAAAGAAAAAGAAAAATCTTCGATTTCAGATGGGCCAATTAGCAAATTTTCATAAGTTTTCACCATGTAAGGTACGCGAAACGTAATTGAATTGTCATCTACGTATGTCAGCGACTCTATCTCCAAGGTTAAGTTGCCAATAACTCCAATATTATTTGTAAATTCTTGTAATTTGAAATTGGATATGAAAATGTTTCCTTTTAACCATGGAATTGCAAAGAATGATACCCAGCTCTTACCGTACGTTGAAAAATTATCGCCTTGAACGCCATTCAAATAAATCTCGATTTCTGAAGAATCTGAAATGATATTTGCATTAGTAAACGCCGAATTAAAGAATATTATTTCTTTGTTGCGGTTTGTCGTGTTTGTATCTATGATCGTTAAGTTATAACCAAACAAATTAAAAAATCTTGTCAAATCTATTGAGCGATCTGTATATAGTGTTACGCTTTCAAGTCCGCGTAACTCGAATGGGATGAATTCTGTTGAGCAATTGATCTTTAAAGGGACTGAATGATAGACATATAAAAAATTTTCTTCAGTTCTTGGCCAAAGGCATTCCGGAAGTATTAGTTGAGTTGGAGACATTGGTTGTATATAAACTCTGATATTATTGATTGTTTTTGACGTAATTGTCGACTTCAAAATAATATTATTTTCTCCATCTTTAAAATGTGAAGTTGGATTAAAATTAAATATAGCACTTTCGCTGGATTTGGTCGAGGGAATGAAATAAATCCTGTGCGTATAATATTCAATGAGAATTCCGTGATATTGGAAACTAATTTCGATGGTTTTTTGACTATAATAAAGAGCCATAATAAATAATTGTTGTTGTGGCTCTACATATATTGTTTTTTCAAACATTTCGCCTGTAAACCTGCCATAAAACTTAATATAGTTTGCTTTAAGAGTAGTAATGGTTCTACACGTGTAAGGATCTATGGCTATATTAGTAGCCTCTATTGTAATAGGATTTTCTGAAATAAATTCGCAATTTATGAAAACAGAGTGAAAACAGTTGATTAAGTCTTTTGAAGTCTCGAAAGTTAAATTTTCAAATGATACTGCAAGGGCAGGATTGGAAGAAAAGATTGGTTCGAAGAAGATTTTGCGTGGTTTAAGATATCCAATGAAAATTAATTGAGTAAGGTTCACAGAAAAGTAAAAATCTGATAGAATTCGATCTTTTTGATCTTCCATACTTGTAAGGAATAAACATTTTATGCTTACGGTCTCAGGTCGACTAAACATTTCTTTTGCGTCGGGATCTCTGATATCTAATTGTGTATAATTGCTCGGGCATTTCGAAGGATCTTTTCTGTATACACATAGCTTTAGTGATACCCCAAGCAAAAATGTAAAAATCATGATTTTGGATAAAAAAATGTCAGAAATCAAATTGAAGGGGGTAAATAAATTTTTGAGGGAGAAATTCTAAAATCATGGAACAATTTCCTTTAGAACTGAATCTAAAGGATGTTTCATTTCCACCGATATATATTTCAACATCCTCAAAGTTTGTTGTTAATGTAACAAATCGGAGTAATCACATTGTAAACTTTGAATGGCGATATTATTCAAACACAGAAGATGAAATCAAAAAAATGTTAGAATACGATATTGATGATCCTTTAAGTCGTCCAGAATACATCAAATCACTACTCTTTCGCTCAGAAAATTTTTCAATTGAACCAATTCGAGGAGAATTATTCCCAGGAAGAAGTCAGCTCATGGTTTTTATGTTTCACCCAAAGGAAATAGGCAAAATTAGTCAATACGCATACCTTACAAATGCAAGAGATAATACTCGATATCCGTTATTATTAACGGGTCAATGTTTACCTCCATCGGCAAAATTTGGAGTTCAAGTTATTAACTGTGGACATATTTCACTCGATAGTATTCTCGAATATCAAGTATTTTTGCATAATACAGGAGATTCAGATGGTTTATTCGAATTAATTGAAAATACAAATGAATTTAATATAAAATTTTCGCCAACATCAGGAAGAATACCAATTGGCGCTTCTATTCCAATCAATATATTATTAACAGCTGATAAAGTAGGAAAATTCAATGAAGAGTTCAAATATAAAATCGATGGTTCTGTATATGAAGAATACCCTTCAATAACTCTCTATGGACGCATTGTTGGTCCATCATTTGAAATTAAAACGAAAAGTATTGATTTTGAAGAAGTTTCATGTGGGTTCCTTCATTCCAAAACATTTGACATACAAAATACTTCAGATATTCCTCTTGATTACACTATAAAATTTGACTCAGATTATGAAATTAACAGTAGAGAGATACAGATCACACCGCCAGGAGGTACTGTTGCTCCTCGAGGTACACAAACCATTAAAGTTGACTTTATTCCTAGCGGTTTGCATGCTTATCGTGGAAATATAAATGTATTATCGAAAAACATGGATAAAATGTATACAATTCCTTTGTCTGGTGTCTCAAGAGTTCCAAACATCAGATTAGAAAAGGATAGGATAGATCTTGGTGATGTTTTTATCAATTTTCCTTATTCGATAAATATTGTTTTGAAAAACAACTCAAAACTCTCAGGAAAATTTGATGTTTTAGAGAACAATGACATGACATTTGGATTTAACGTTAAAAACTCACGTCCTTCAGGAATAATTCAAAGTTATTCAACAATTGAAATTCCTTTGCAAATGACAGCGACACAATTAGGAGAAATGTCATTTACTAAGCTTATTAGAATATATGGAAGTGATAATCCACCATTATCTTTCACAGTTACATTCAAATGCATTGGTCCAACATATAAAATTTCTCAAGACTTTATTGATTTCGGAAGAATTCCAATTCTCAAGAAAATTACAAGAGTTTTCACAATAGAAAACACTGCATTGATACCAATGGAATACAAACTATCTATAGAAAAGAATACTGATGTATTTAGTCTCGATACAAATTCAGGAAAAATTCCTCCAAAAGAAAAACAAAATATTGTAATTTCTGCTTTTCTTGATGATGGAATCAAATTTGATACGGAAATACAAGTTTGTTTAAGTATGACAATTCCTTTTGTTGTGAAAGTTGCTGCTGTTGGCGTTGGAATCTCTTTAATTCCAAATATAAACTTAGAAAATGTTGAAATTGAAAATGCTTTTGCAGGACAAAAAGTTTCTTATCCTTTTATTGTTTCTAACAAAGGAAGAATTCCTAAAGAATTAAAATGGACTATTCCTAAATTCGAGAAACAGGAAGAACTATCTTATTCATTAGAACCAAGTGAAGTAGTAATTGAACCTTATTCTGACCAAACATTTACGATTTATTTGGATTGTGAAAATCCGAATTTAATTGAATTTTCTGCTTTTTGTCAATTGATTCTCAGAAAGAAGAAAGTTGATTTGTTCAGACCGAAATTCAAAATAGAGTTCGAAAAAGTTCTTGTTGAAATCAAGAACAAAATAATGAATTACAAGTTTGATTATGATTATAAAAATGAAGTGAAAAATAACAATCTAAAACCGTCAAAATCGTTACTACCTCAAATTCCTCAAAAGAACTCAATCAAGAATACTTCTCATTTGCCATTGAAAATGTTGTTAAAGCCACCACATCCATTCATTTTGTCAAATGATTCTTTTGTTTTACAACCAGAAGAAACTGCTGATTTTGATGTAATTTTTGACACTTCTTTCAAAACAAATTTTGTCTCTGAAAACATTGATAGAAACTTGCAAATCTATTTTGAAGATAATCCACAGAAATATTTCATAAAACTCAAAGCAAGAATGAACTTTCCTAATTTGGCAATTGAAGAAAAAGAAATTGATTTTGGTCATATTTCAATTGGGGCTGAGAAAAACTTGCAAATTAAAGTTCATAATAAAAGTGAAATTGCTGCTGAATATGAATGGCAAATTGCAGGAAATGAAAGTTTGGCATTCGATGTTTATCCATTGAGATCTTCTGTCAACAAAAATGAAGAAGAAACAGTGAATTTCGTTTTCTTTGGTGCAGGAAATGATTCTCAAACCTTCTCAGCAACAGCAATTTGTCATGTAAAAGGTGGCCCTGATTATACTTTGTCATTAAAAGGATCAACTGCAAAAATTTCATATGAAATTGATACAACAACAATTGATTTCGGAGATGTGAATTTTACTGATTATTTGCAAAGTTCTGTAATGGTTTATAATGAAGGAGATATTGATATTTCTTTTGATACTGTTATTCCTTCGAAAACGAAATTCAATTTCATCAAAGTTGAACCAAAGAAATTCTCTGTAAAACCAAATGACAAACTTAAATTAAAAGTGTCAATTTGGCCAGGAATTCCTCAACAATTTAAGGAACATTTTACATTGATAACTCCTAATTTGACTGAAATACAAATCAATTTAATTGCTAATTGTTTGTATCAGCACAACAATATTATTTTTAATGACATGATATTAAACGAAAACAGAGATGAAGAATTGTCACTTTTGGTTGAACAAAGTGAAGAAATTTTATCAAAACCGAAAAATAACAGTGAAGAATATCGTCAAAAGAGACAAAAATGTCATATTGGAAGAGGAAAGATTGAATCAAAGCCATTGTTTACATTTGATATTGATTTTGGAGATGTTGTTTTGCATGATTTAATTCAGAAATCGCTTTTTATCGAAAATGATTCGATTTTCAAATCAAATTTTGTAATTTTTGAAGATGAAGAATCAATTTTCACTATTTCTCCTAAGAATGTATCCGGGATTCCACCTAACGCTAAAACAGAAATCAAAATTGAATTCGATCCTGCTCATTTGAAAGAAATTATAAACGGAAATGTCACTTTTCAATACAAAATCATGACGAGTGATTTTCTTTATTATATTATGAATGTCAAGATTAATTTGATATCTCCCAAATTGATATTCAGTCAAAACATCATTAATTTCCAACAAACAATTGTTGGACAAGAAAGAATCATGACTTTGCAATTGAGAAACATGAACAAAGTCCCAATAAATTTCGTGATTGGAGATGGAATTTCTCAAACAGTTTTGAAGCAAAAGGATGTGTTTATGATATCATCAAATTGTGGAGAGATAAAAGAACAAAGTTATACTAATATTGACATAACATTCTCTCCGAAACAAGGAAAAGAATATTCATATCAATTCCCTGTTTTCATCAAATTTTCGAATGAAGAAAATTTCATTTTCTGCAATGGAACAGGAAATCTGTTGAAATTGTCTTTCTTCCCTCCTATTGCTGATTTCGAACAAATCATGCCTTTCTCTGATATCACAACAATGCAAGTTTTACTTACTAATCCATCAAATCATCCAATTGAAGTGTTTTCTCGTCAATTTGATGCAAATATTATAACAGATCAAATAACGAGAATGAAAACAGGAACTCCCTTGACAAAATCAAGGAATAGAATGCAAAACAGTCAAACAAATATCTTGTTTGATAATACACAAACACAAAAAGTTTGTTTGATTGTACATGGACCAAGTAACAGTGGGAAAACTTTAATTTGTCAAAAATTGTCAGAAAAATATGGAAACATTCCAATTATTCGGCTAAAAGACATCAAAAATCAAAACTTTGATAATTATTTTGATGTCTTCCAAGAAAGCATTAAAGATTTTGACTTCTTTATCATTGATGGCTTAGATTGCTTCGATGAAAGAGAAGAAACTTTGCAATTTTTGACACAAATGACAAAAGTCAGTAAAAATGATGAAGTTTTCAAGAATTTATTCCATGAACTCAAGAACAAAGCGAATTTACCAATTTTTGAAGAGAACATGAAGAAATTATTGGATATTTTGAAAGGTTTTTATGTTTATTTGATTGTTTTGGATCCAAGCACTGATTTATTGAAACATAGATTCGATAGTTTGTTGCATGAACAATCAGTTGAACAAATGAGAATCGAACTAAACGAAAAAATGAACTTAATAAACATGACAGAAGAAGAATATGAAAAACTGACTGATGAAGAGAAAAATGATATTGATAGAAGAAGAAAAGAACTTCGCAACCAAAAAATAGTTGCTGAACCACAAACAAAATCCAAAGTTTCTTCTGCAAGAAGATCAAAAAAGAAGACTTCTCAAAAATCAGCTCAAAATGTTCCAGTGAAATCTCCAAAATCTTCCCAAATTTTTGTTGATTCTCCATTTTATTATGATATTTATCTTTTCAGATATTCATTCCACATAATTTCTGACATGATACAATCTCCTGAAAATGGATGTGTTGTTTTCGATCCAACTATTATTAATTGTGAGAAAATTGAAGATCACGTGAACAATATTTTAGTTATTAAAAATGAATCAAAAATTGAAGATGAAGTTGACAAAATCTTCAAATATTTCCCAGGTTTAACTGAACTGAAAACATTTTTGTTCCAAAAATCAATTCCTCCTCCAAGATTAATTGTTCCTGTTACTGATGATATTCCTAACTCTGATGATCAACCATTGTTTTTCAATATTGCTACAGATTCTAACGATGAAAATGTTTTCGGAAACTGTACTGACAGATGGAAGATTGAAGCAGGTGAAAGTTGTCCAATAATGATACAGTTTTATGGACAAAATGTTGGATTTTATGAAGATAAATTAACTTTCTCGATTTCAGGATATAAATCTGAAGTTTTCACTTTGTCTTTGAAAGCAAATGTCTTGTATCCTGAAATAGAAAGAGATTTTGCAAATATATTTGGTGATGTCACTGATAAACTTACAACAAAAATGAAATTACAATACGTGAAATCACTGAATTCTTTCTTCTTCGGTTACAACATTTTACAAAAAGAAAAAATGCTGAAAAGCGATGGTTCAAAAGTTAAGAAATACTTGAACATCACAAACAAATCTGTGTTTGTAACAACAGTAAATGCTGTGTTAATGAAACCAGCACCAAAAGGAGTTTGGTCAATTGATACAAACACATTTGATATTGATCCAGGAGAATCTTGTTCAATTTGTGTTACTTTTTCACCAATCCAAATTGGAACATTCGAAAATGTTATTGGTATTTATATCAGAGATAATCCAGAGCCATTGTTTTTACCAATATTTGCAACATGCTTAGTTCCTGCTTTGAAATTCTCTTGTAACTCTTTGGATTTCGATAAAATCATTACAAATCAAGTTTCTCAACGAGAAATTATGATTCAAAATGATGAAAATGTTGCTGCTTATTGGAGAATTAAAGGAGGAAACACGTTAGGAAAGATATTTACTATTGCTCCTTTAGAAGGATTCTTAAATCCAAACACGAAATCAAAGATTTCTCTTCAATTTTCTTCCCCGAAACAAATTTTGTTCAAAAAATCGATTTCAATTGAAATCATGGATAAAACAAAACTCAGAACATTTGATACGAAGAACATCAATATCATTGCTGAAGCCTATGATGTCAACTTCGCAATCGAGTATCAAGAAAACAGTTCTTCATTAGATTTCGGAATAATGAAAGTTGGCCAATCAAAAACTGTCAGTTTAGTCATGAAAACTCTTGGAAAATATCCGATATTGTACAAGTTCATGCTCGACAATAGCAAGGAATTCCTCCAGAACATGAAATTGTCATCAATGAATGGAGGTGTTCAACCGAACAAAAACCAAGAAATTCAATTCACTTTCACTGCAACAAAAATGAAGAAATTCAATCAAACAAAAGGAATTTCTGTACTTATAAATGATACTTTAACAGGAAGTGAAATTGCATTGGTACAAATTCCTTTTTCTGCTCAATCTGTTTATTCTTCATTTGAAATTTCTCCAAAGAATGAAATAGACTTCCAAACAATTCCTATTATGAAATCAAACACTAAGACATTTACTATCAAAAACATTGGTTTCTTTGAGTTCTCTTTTGTGTTGAATAATATAAATCAACAACAAAGAGAAATTGAACAAAAAGCAAATAAAAAAGTTGTGAAAGAACCAAAAGGAAACTCAGGATCAAAGAGGCATCTAAACAAAATGCCTACATCATTGATCGTCAGTGAAACAACCGTTATAACTCCTTGTTTCGGTATAATCAAACCAAATGAAACTCAAGAATTTACTGTTGAAGTTAAACCAAATAAAATTCAAAAAGTGACAGAAACATTTTTGATTCAAATTTCTGATATCAATCCAAAATTTGTGGATGGAATAACTTTTAATTTAACAAGTAACAGTATTAGTTCAAGTCTTGTCTGTGATGATTACGAACAGATCTTTAAGACCATAAATATTTGCAGTTCAAAAGATCCAATTCAAAACACAAATTCTTGGTTTTATGACCAAAAAATTTTACATTTCATGCCAACTTTAGTTAATTCCAAGAACGAAACAGAGTTTCTTGTGATCAACAACTCTTTAGTATCATGTGATGTTGATGTTTCCATTAAAAACGAGAACAAAAAAGAATCAGATATTTTCATTGTTTCAGAAAAACAGATAACTTTGGAAGGGAATGAAAGTAAATTAGTTAAAATTGCATTTGAACCTAAAACTATTGGTTCTTTCCAAGCAAACTTAACTGCAACTGCCAAAAATTCATTATATCCTCCAATTTCTTTCAAACTAGAAGCGATTTCTGAAATTCCTTCAATAGATGTTCACATCAAAACTGATGAAGGAATTTCGCAAGATGATATTCAACCATTTGATTGTTTCTTGATCTCTTTCAAGAGTGAAAAAGTTATTGTTCTAAATAATGATGGAAATCTTGCTGCAACAGTTTTAGTTTCTTTGTCTCCTTCTCCTGATTTCATTTTATCAACGGAATACAACAAAATCACTGTTAAACCGCACTCAGAATTCTTCCTTCCAATTGTTTTCCATCCACAAAAACCAAGGAAATCAACAGTTGTTGTCACCTTGAATCTGATGGAAAACCCTGAATTCGAGAAGAAAATAACATTTTATGGAGAGGGAGTCTTCGAACCTGTTTACGTCCAAGGAAACACATTGACAAAACAAGGAGGTCCAACATTGATTTTTAATGATACAACAGTTGGAAAACCTGCAAAAGTTGATTTCCTCATCAAAAATGTTTCGAATGATTGTTACAGATTCAGTTTCAATCATGATAATGATTTTACATTTAGTCCAAGAGTCGGACACATTCATCCTAACACAAGTAAGAAAGTTACTTGCACATTCATTGCTGACAGAGTTGTAAGTTTCAAGAACAAAACAATTTCTTGTCAAAGAACAAAAATAAATTTGCAAGATAATTCTTCTGATTGGGATGATTCAAAAACAGTCATGAAATATGTAAAAAGAAGTCAATTAGATCCTAATAACCAAGCACCAACTCCTCCTGCTATCAGTAGTTCGAGATCAACAGCATCTGTAAGAAAATCAATCATAATGAAATCTGATGAAGAAAAATCATTAGATGATGATTACGTTGTTGTTGAAGACATTGAACCTGAACCGCCTTATACTGTTGTTAGAGAAAGGACTTCTGATATGCAAGTAGTTATTTCTGCAGCTGCTGATAGTATAAGTTATTTGTTGCATGAAGATTTAGTTGATTTTCCAACAACTATGATTTATGAAACAAAAGTTCAACAATTTGCATTTGAAAACACTTGTAACATTGGATTTAATTATTTTTGGAGATTCAAGTCTCTTGACACGTTAATGCAGAATCCAGATAAAAGAAGAATACTTCCTTTCGTTATTAATCCTCCTTCAGGATATTTGAAACCAAAAGAAAAAATTGTTTTTGATGTCACTTTTTCACCAATAATTGATGATGAATTTACAGCATCATTTATATGTGATATCGATAATCTAAAGACAGAACCACCTAAACTATTTGTTTGTGGTGTTTCTAAGAGACCAATTGTTCACATTAACTTTGAACAAAGTGACTATTTGACATCAAATAGAAGAACAAGCGACCAAATAATAAATGTTCCAGAAAACATCAGAGTTCTTGAAATTGTGAGTAATGCCAAAGGAAACAAATCAGTGAAAACATTTGAGATGATTAATACTACTGATACGCCTTATGAAGTTTATTGGGAGTGCGTTAAAGATACAAGTAATAACTCCATTAAATGTACAACTCCACAAAGTTTCATAAGTAGCGGAAAAAGATTTTTCTGTACTTTTGAATTTACGCCGAAATCTCATCAAACTGTTGAATCACTCTGGTCATTCTCAATCCCTGCTTATGATTTGAAAGCAGAGATTCTTATTGTTGGAAGAGTTTTCAATAGTGCAAAGAATTAATTTTCAGATAATTTATATTTTATTTATTTGTATGTATTTATAAAAATTTACTTTGGAATATGTTCATTCATTTTTCATAGAGATTAAGAGTAGAAATAAAAATTTGAAAGATCAATTTTTTTATTTTGATTGAAAAATCAATAATTCAATGCTGGAAAATGAATTTTAGCAGTTTTATTAATAAAGCCGTAATTAACAATGTATCCTGGATCATCATCCAAATTTTACATTTTTGAAACTTCTGCAGAAATGAGATTAAATTTGGGAAATCAAATATCTCAGAAATTTTTTGTATTTTAATATGGTTATTTTAATATTATGCATCCTAAATTTAAAAAATCTTTCTAAGATGATCGAAAACAATGATTTTAAGGGTATAGTAAACTCAAAATTCTAGAGTTTTGAGAGTGCCAATAAACTCTATAGGCCTATATATATCTATATTTTAAAGGAGAGGTTACGCCATAATATTTGATATTATAAATTATTAATTCAAAATAAAAGTAGAAAATGAAACTAATTTTATTCTAACCTATATAAATATATCAATAATCTAAAATGATTATAGTCTGAACTATATTTTACCAGATTATCAAATATAAGAGAAATGAAATAAGGCATAAAAATATCATAGCATAATTATTGGATAAATGCATTAATAAATTATTTATATCATAATGAGAAAAAATCAAAATAAGAAAATGAGCATAATAATAATTTAATTAAAAACAAAAACAATAAATAAAATGTAATTTTCGTTAATCAAAGTCATCAATGTCTTCGTCTTCTGATTCCCATTCGGACTTGAAAACTTGATAATCTCCTCCTGGTACACTCTGAATGGATTTTTTGTATTTGTTCTGTTTTTTAGAACCTTTTGTAACAGTTTTTTGTTTCAATATCATTTTAGAGTAACAATTCTCTTCAAATGATTTGACATAATCTTCTGGAAGTGGGGAAAGATGTAATGCTTTTTGTATATCTCCGAGAAAATGCTCTGGATCATTCCATTCTAAGATTGCAACGTTAACTCTAATGTTAATGTTCTTCCAGGCTCTTGATTTGTCCAAATATAGGGTGTCCAAAGGTGCGTTTAGCACAGCGCTCTATATGAGACTATTAAAGGAGATATATGCTGATTATAAATATATAATAAAAAATATGAATATATGTATATGATGAGTATGTTGTATTTTGGCGCCATGCCGGGATATAAAATGAATTTTGAGACAAGAGGCGGTTTCGCGGGAAATTTTGGCGAGATTTTTTTCATTTTTTTAATGAATCATAAAGAAAACATCCTCGCTCTTGCAAAAAAATGCAAAGACTGTAAAAAAATCTACGAGACATTGGTAAAATGCTTCGGTATGGATGCTCCTAGCTATTCCACTGTAACGTATCATGTTAGGATGTATCACTTCATGAACAAAAAGGCGCCCATCATAAAAATTGACAAAAAATCGCCGGATCAAAGAAAAATCAAAGCAATTCTTCAAGCGCTAGATGAAGACCCAAGAGCATCACTCAGAAGGATAGAGGAGATGACAAAGATACACGTACAACAGTCAGTTATTATCTGCACAATTATTTGAACTACAAACTAGCGTATACACGTTGGGTTCCGCACAACCTTAATTCAGTTCAAAAAAAATCTAGAGTCCAATCTTCGAAAGAGCTCCTCTCTATATTGGGTGCGTATCAATCCAAGAAGTTTCGCTTTTAGTAACAGGGGACGAGTCTTGGTTTCAATATGCAACAGAAGCCAAAATCATGTGGATCCCGAAGGATGAAAATCCGCAAACATTCCCGAAGAAAAAAATTGACACACCAATGATGATGTTGTCGGTTTTTTGGGGCGTGAATGGCATCATCGCAATTGATATTCTTCAAAAACCTAATACGATGAATGCTCAGTATCTAATTGGCAATGTTCTTACTCAAATTATCAATTCTGATGAGTTTGAGAAATCCAAACAACAAAAACAAAAGTTTGCAATTCATTTTGATAATTCAAGAGTTCACAAAAGTCATAAGGTAATGAATTACTTGGTGGAAAACAATGTCAAAGTTGTTCCAAACCCAATTTATTCACCTGATATTGCACCCTCTGACTTTTATTTATTCGGCACGCTAAAAAAGAGAGCTGAAGGACGCGAATTCGCGAGTCCAGATGATCTTGAAAATTTTGTAAGAGAGCAATTTGAGCAATTTTCTCATGATGATTTAAAGCGTGTCTTTCAAGCCTGGATCGATCGCTGCGAACGCGTGATTGAATCCAATGGTGATTATATTTAAATAAACTTTATATATATGTAACTTGTTTATTTCTATTCGCAGTATTCAGGTTTGTGCTAAACACACCTTTGGACACCCTATAGCATGCAATTTTGGAGTTAAATGCTTCATTCATGCAGGTAGATCCAATGGAAGAAACTTTGGAAACTATGGGTGTCCATTTGTGAACCCAGTCATAGAGCATGAATTGAAGTTGGATCGAATTGACACCTTTTTGCCATTCAAAGCATTTGTAATTGTGCGGTTCGCAAAAAGAATGATTGCCTATGTAATGGTAGACACAATTCTCCCACATTTTCGTACGTTTGTCAATATTTTCTTCGGCAAAACATGACCAAAGCCACATACTTAGGCTTGCATTCAGACCCCAGAAAGGTCTCTCTATTTTTTCAATCTTCTGAGTCTTGTCGTTGAAAACTTCAACTGTCTTATGAGAAGCTGAGAACTTTGTAAAATCTTTTGAGATATTTTTGATACATGACCTGGATCGAATCTTTCAAGATGAGAGACGCCAAATTCTTTAAAGACAGAGACACTTTTGTTATCTTGGTCTTTAATAATCTCTTTAACATCTTTCAAGATATTGTATTTCTTTAATTGCTTCAAGATGATTCGAGTTCCAGCACTTTCCATATTGTTGGAAGCTCCGGAATACTGAGCATGCTGTCTGTTAGTTAGTATGACTAAGTCGTGTACGGAGGCACTGCATTCCTCAGTACGCAATACTTGTGAATTTGACACTTTACAAAACCGTTAACGTATATTTTACAACACAAACACAAACACCAACTTAACCTTAAATATTTATAAAGCCGCCAACCACTTCACCTTACTACTGTAAAAATAAACGTTCTCACTTACAAAAGTATTGCAACTCTTCCCATTGCTGTGCTTCACACAATAGTTCATATTCTTCAGTATCGCTGCTGTCGCTCCAATCGTCAGAGTCAAAGTCACTGTCAAAATAAATGTTAGTAAGTTTTGACAAAGCTAATGAAACACGTTTACCGTTTGTATCGTATGCTTGTATAAACTTTCCATTCTTCATTCCTTCATAAACGCTCAAACTAACTTTACCCTTTCTCCCTCGTATCTGATAGAATGTATTTTCACGAGGAACGAAGAACAAATTCTTGAACTCATGACCGTTGTAGTTTGTTATCTCAATAGTTTTCGTCATTTATATAAAAATAAACTTAAAAATAATTTTAAAAATAAACTTAAAAATAAATGATATCACCACTCCCACACGTATGAAAACATCCATTTAAATTTAGGTGAAGTGGTGAGATCTCACCTCTTTTTTCACCTCTTTTTTCACCCTGTTGAACTCATTGCTTTATAACTCTCTTCCTTTATCCAACTCTTCTAACTTCTTCTTAAGTTCAGCAATGTTGTCCTCATGAAGTTTAATCTTTCTCAAAATTCCTTCTCTATCTAATGGTTGCTTTATCTTTCTAAACTGAACTCTACCATCCTTCATAGTATGAATGTAAAAACCTTCTGGAATAATTCCTGATTTAATGTATTCTACCAAAAACTTTTGTTTCATTGCTTCAGTGACTTTATTTGTCATTTCAATCAAATAAAAATTTTAATATTAAATAAAAATAACGTTATTTTTTCAGTAAGGAAACGCAGGAGTTTTACGATTTATTTGAGGAGTAGGTTCTGGTTTAAATGTTGGAGTCGGTTTAGGAGTTGACTTTTGAACAGGAGTTTGTAATTCCATAGGTTCAGGAGTCATTGAAAGTGTTGTTTGTGAAGGCGTTGGTTTTGGCGATGGTGTTGGAGTTTGTTTAACTTCAGCTACTTCAGTATTATTTACAACATTTGTTTTATTTCTTTTCAACATCATAACTGCTCCTGCTGTAGCTAGCAAACCTAGTGGGAGACCATATTTTATATAAGGACTTGACCAAATGCTATTTTTGACAGGAGCTGGTGGAACACCTAACCTTGGTGAGACTGCTCTTTGCCATTGTGCAGCTCGTAAGAAATATTCAATAGGTGCTCCATAATCGTTTGGTAAAGTTTGTTTCATAGATGGTGAAGGTTCACGAGAGCTTGATGAAGAACTCATTTATAAGCTTTAAAAATAAACGTTCATCCTTTATTCCTCACTGTCGTCCGTAGCTAAGTTATAGTCATCTAATCTTATTATGGGGATGCCATTAGCACGCACCTGAATGGCAAAGCAACAATCCCTCATAAATCCAATAAGTGGCTTTGGTACGTTTTCAGTTGCTAGTTCAATAGGTCCTTTAACAGACAATTTGTATGTTATTGGAGCAGTAGATGTTTGACCTTGCTGGAAGCAAAAGTCCACTTCTGTTGGAAAACCACATAAGAAATGTGTGTTGTCATAGCTATCCCATTTATGTTCCACACTACCATCATCCACCAATGACCTCATAACATCTTCATTAAATCCTATCATATCATTGTTTGTATTGCAAGCGTTCGCAACCATTTCATAAAATACAGGTCCATATGATTTTTCAGGTTCTGCAGGCATATTTCCATAAGCTCCCATGGAAAGCTGAAGATATTTAAACTTAGGGTTCTCAAAATTAACATAATAGTTGTCTTTCTTTCTAAATAGTGCCCAAATACTTTTAACATTAATAGGCGTATAAGCTGCTGTAAATGTTGCACTTGAACTATCTGTATTCTTTGAGAATGAACCGTCCATAGGAATCCAATCCATAACTTTAACAGGAAAACATAAAGCCTCGTTTGTATAATGTTCTACAAGTTCTGTATAAATGTTAGGGTCTAAAGAGAATGACTTTGGATGAATGAAACATTCATTAAAATCCATCTTTGTTCGAAATAGTTGCTGGGTTACAGTTGTAATAGTAACTGTTCCACTAGCTTCTACTGCCTTCGTTATCAAAGTGAATGGTTCATTCCATGGAACAAATTTATTTGTCGGTGGATTTGAATCTGAAGCAAATGCAACTTTAAGAGTTGGATTGAAAGCAATGATATCATTTACAGATATAGATGTGCATTGTAATGCGTCGCTACTGAACTTTACTTTAAGCTGAATGTTTCCTGCAAAAGCTGGAATAAATCGAATAGCTTCTAATGGAAGGAATCTTCTAACAGGAATTCTTAAACGAAGCTTAAAATCAAATGATTTTCCTGCTGTAATTGGACCACTAACAATTTGTCCTGTTCTGCATGTTCCCGAATGACTCCATACATCTTCATGTCGAGTCTTTGAGAAAACATCTACTTTCTTTATTTGTTCGGTAGTTTGTGAGTTTGAAGTTATATATGCTTCTTCTCTTGCGTTGTCTTGAGAATATACGATACGACCATTTGCAAGGATTTGATATCCAGCAACCGCATAGAAAGCGTCATCGAAACCAATCCAAAATCCTGGTGGGTTTGTTTTATTGGAACCTGAACCAATTTCTTTATCTACAATAAATTGACCTTCCATTTTATACGTAATGAATGTATTGTAAAGGTCCAACATATTTTCACCAGGAGGTGAGAGATTGAATGTTACCCATGTGTTATCTTTAGCAGTTCCAGGTTGTGATGGAATCTTTGCGTCAGAATATTTTCTATTAGTGTCACCAATTTGAACTGCATTGTCTATGATATCGAAATATGAGCGAATCTGATGAATATGCTCTGCTGGAATAAATTCGTTTAACTGTTCGTTCTGCATGTATTTACTTCGGATAAAAATATCTATTTACTTCATTATTCTCACTCTTCTTCTTGGCATTCGTGGTGGAAGTTGTTTCTTGACATTTTCAATGAACTGTACATTCTCTTTTGTCTCAACTTCTTTCACTGGTGGGTCAGGGTTCTTTGACTCGGTTTGTTTTTCAATGAAATTCACGAACTTTGCAATAAGCTCTTGGTTCGTTATTGAAAGAACATCTGGCTTTTTCTTCTGGTTCTATTGACTTTTCAGTTTGAATAGAAGGTTTTATATGGGCTTCACCCTCGGTGCCATGCACCTTAATGTTGTCGCTCTCTGCATTCGCTAATGGAACCTTTCTTTTTCTTACGTATATTTTACCATCTTTACTCTGACTTACGTAATAGAAAGGATGTTGTATTCCTCTTGCGTCATTTAATATAATAGACTCTCGCTCTGATTTTGACAAGCTCATTTTACATCGGTTAAAGTTTTAATTTTGTTTTTTATCTGCAGTCAAATGACTCAGACAAGCCCTACGGACAAGACCCAAGGGGTCATAGATGTTGAAGCATTGAAGAAAGAAATTCGCGAGCAAATTTTATCCGAACTGAAGGAACAAAAACAAGAACAAAAGCCAGAGAGACCAAAGAGAAAACTTAGTGAAAAACAACTTGCTGCATTAGCTGCTGGAAGACAAAAGAACCCACGTTTGCTGGCGAAGAAAGCTAGAGAAGAAGCAAAAGCAAAGGAAGAACAAAAAGCTAAAGAAGCTGAAGCAAAGAAAGAGTAAATGGTTTATTTTTATCCGAATTAAATGTATAGACAAATACCTTTAACTGTTGCGTTCAGTAGTGAAAACCCTGACGTCAAAATAAAGGGGAACAGAGTAACGTTTAAGTTTCCAACAGACTGGATTGTGAACATTAATGAGAAGAAGTACATTGGCATAACATCTATGTATATAACACGTGCTTTCAGAAAGGTTGACTTTATACTTCAAGTCGAGATAGAAAATGACGAACAGTCTTTAAGCGCCCAAAACATTCACATATACAAATACTTTAAAGACGATACAACTTTACAAGAATGTATGATTTCATTTAATGAAATGTTCGAGAAAAAGTTCAACATTGAAGTACAAACTTTACAGCCTTTACGTGAGTTTCTTGCACAACTGAAAGAAGAAGGTAGTCAGCCACAACTTATAGACTTTCATTATGAATTTAATGAAAACGAAGATGGAACTCATGACTGTCAGTTTGTTATATATTCACCATTCAATGAAGTAGCTAAAGAGAAAGAAAATCCATTACGTATAAGGTTTCAAATCTCTGAACCCAATGAAGACTTCAAGAATGTTTTCAATTATGATGCAATGCTTCCGAGGAAAAATAATTTTCAAAGATTGTAACACCTGGCATTTGGGATAGAAAGCAAGCTATATTATATTCAAACTTAAGTAAGGGAGTTGAAAATGAGTTCATTGGTCATACAAGAACTTCACACACTTCCTAACCCTAAATACTAAAATTAACTGGCTTCAATCGTGAGTTTTGGATAGACATGTTCTCCACTCATGACCATAACTGCCCAGTGTTCTTACCTCCAGACCATAAGGACTGTCTCTACATTGAAGCACAACTCTTAAACTCTACCATCGCAGTATTGTAAAATCTACGCTAGCTTTATTTTATCACGAATGACCTCATTTCTGACAAAATAAATGACCTCATTCATGACCTCATTGCTGACAAAAATAAATGACCTCAGAACTTCAACTTACGAATAAAGCTTGTTTTAGTCGTTATTGAGAAGTTAAACTTTTCAGCAAAGCAAGGACTAGAAGACTTACATAAGTCAAATCCAATCTCTTGACGTCATAAAGTGCTTTATATAACTTCATAACACTGACTCAGAGTCTTTGTCAAATTTTCCTTGCGGAACCATTAAACCTTTATCTTCATCATAGAAACACTGAACAGAGTCAGGAAACATTTCATTAGCGGTTAATGCAATAACATCTTGCTTCACGCTTTCATTCTGCAGTGAAATGCAACTTCATTTAAATCATTCGTGAGTAAGTCTATGTAAGTCTTCTTTCCACAAAATATTGACTTGTATGCTAAACTTTGTTTTCCAGGTGTTATTTCTGCGAAGTCACTATGAAACTGACCAAGGTTTTTACCAATGAGAACTCTTCCATAACGTTTCTCAAACTCTTCAGCTAAACGAGGGATATCTTCATTGTAGAGATGCATACTGTCCGTATCGCTATAAAAGATGTCCATTCCTAAGTCCTCAGCAGTACAGAATACTTCACACATTATTCTCTTCGACATAGACAGAATGTTAACACCAAGTGGACAGAAGTTAAAGTGTCTGCAAATGCTTTTCGTTAGCTTGAAAATAGTTTTATCTGAACCATCCAAACCTTCGAACTTCACTATATGGTTGTAGTTTCTGATGGCATATCTTATAGCATCTTTGTCATTTACTATGGTTATTTTTGACTCAATAGGAGATAGAATAGTTTTGCCATAAATACTGTTCAGAATGAGCTTTATATTTTCTTGCAAAGGATTTCCTTCTTTCTTATACTTTAACCTTAACTCAAACAACTTCTTTACTTCATCTCTTATTCTAATATCTCTGTTTCCATCGTAATAGTATCCTTGCAACACCTCACATTTGACACCTTGATATTTTATGAGGTCTTGTAATGTTATATGGTCAACATACATGAGACAGCAAGTGTTTGAACTTCTGGGAACGTTAAGTTCTGGATTTAGTTCAGGGTCACAAACTATTAAAGGAAAGTGTCTATGTATTCCAATCTCTGTTATCTTAATGAGAACAAAGAAGCCAGACATAAACTTTTCACCAATGGGTTCCTTTTGGTCGTCATCGAATAAATGTCTCATGAGATACTCTGTGCTTAGCATCTCATCCTTCATAACCTTTGGAATTCCTTCTAAAGTATAAAGTCTTGCTATAGCGGATGGATATAATGAAACAGCGTCGAAGTCAGCAATGAGTTTCTTTTCGCTCTTTTGTTTCATGTTATCTGACAGCATACATCTTCCACCTTGAATACAGCGTGAAATAAATTCTCTTGGTTTATTTGAGAGGTCATAAAGATTTCCATTCGGGAAGTATACTCTGTTCTCAAATAATTTGTTAGCAATTGAACAAATACTAACGTAGTCATAAACGTTTAAATCAAATTCTTTCAATAAGTCATTGCGGAACTTAACAAAACCTTCTCTTAAAATTCTTACATCTTGTTTGCAATAAAACGTGCTATATTTTCTAAGTCGAAGTGGTTCTCATCTATTCTGCAACCTTTGATGGAATCTATGTTCTTCATGAACGTTTCAATATCTTTTACAAACTTACACGCTTCAGAAATGACACCAGTTCTGTTGTCATTTGCTAACAAAAAAACACTGCTGTAGTAGTTATATGGAAATACTTCTTTCGGTCCTGTTTGTAAGTTAAACATAGCAGGAAATAGTTTAAGCTTCTTATTTATAACACTGTAAGAGTCTTTTATAATAATTGCCCTTCCTTTATATAAGCCAGTTATTTGCATTGTTCGTGAACCTTTAATGATGGGAGTTCCTTTCACTTCTGTCATGTATCTTAAGATGAAGTTTATATCATAACTGAGGTTATGGAAATATATTAAACTCTTGTCAGGAAGTCGTTCCAAAAATTCTGTTGCACAGTTCTGACCCCATATGCTTCACTCACTGAACCATCTTCATTGTCATAACAGATGTTAAAAGCTTTATGAAAGCCATCGGTACTGCACTCAAAGTCAGCAAAGAAAACGTGCTCAGGAATGAACTTGCACTTATTTTTATTTACTTCTTTTGACTCTGCTTTCTTCTTCAGTTGTACACAATACTTTGGAGCATATGTCAAATCTTTAAATGGTGCAAGGTTCTGTTTATATAAGTCAGTCGTATATGTGAAAAGTTCTCCATAAGAAATAGGTTCAAAATATTTGCACTCCCACAATGTTTTCATAACATCCCATAACGGTGTTGTTCTATCCATGCGAACAATGTATTTACCATCTCTCTTTGTATAAATCTTCATTTGTTTCTCAATGTTCATTCCACCACACTCCTTCAAGATTTCTATATAGTTGCGAATGAAATATGTTGTCATTGGTAATCTTTCGTTTAGCATGTAGTGGTCTTCAACAAGAAGTAAGTCAATAGTTCGAGCAGTTTCACATTCTTTTGGTATATATCTCTTTATTTCATTATGTCTTGAGTCATTGAAATAACCAATGGTAACATTAAATGCTATACCTGTTGCGTCAGAAATTTCTTGTACTTTACTTTGAGGAAAGTCTCTAACACGAATGACTTCTCTCATGTGGTCAATAGTTTCTTCATTTACTCCAGCCTGAATGCAAGCATAAACGAAACAATTGTCTTCTGTCATAAGTGCTGCAGTTCTTTTGTTCAGTTCATTGAAGATTTGGTAGCGTTCAAGATTTATAGGTAATGTGCAAAGATACTTCCAGAACTGACCGCTTCTCTTCTTATAAAACTTCTTTTCACCATTATCTTTCCAAAAGCTTTCTATAAGTGCTGGGTTTCCTGTTTGCTTAAGAGCTTCCAAAATGGCTTTCTGGTCATTTGTCAGTGTGCTTTCATCTCTATATGGTCGCTTCTTGGCTTTCCTTTCTTTACATCTGACATCGTTAAGCCTTCATATTCTGTTAAATCATACATCTTTATTTCGGTAAGATTCTTTATGTTTGTCAAGAAGAAGTCATAGTGCATTTCAACAATACCTGCAGCATTTGCTTCTATCTCTGATATAAAGTTCTCCTTCAAGAGCTGATGTAGTAATGTTCCAATATTATTGAGGTTTAACGTAGAACATTCATACTTTCCACCAAGTTTATAACATACCATCCATCTTTGTTGGGAGTTTATTTTAATCTTCTCTAAGAGTCTCATGAAAACCTTACCGAAATGTTTGTGTAAGTAGTCTCTGTTTGGTTCATCTAAAGCTTCGATGTTAAAGTCAATGAGTCTATTGCCTGACTTCACATTTCTCTTCCTATTCTCTTCATCTTTCTTTAACCATCTCTCACCTTCTTTTGGTTTGTCGTCAATGGAACGAATGACATCGTTAGCTTTGCGAACTTGTTCTATAGCAGTTTTAAACATCTCTCTTCTCTGTTGTTTCAGTGTGTCGTCTCTTCTTCTTGTTTCACCAACGTTTGCATTTGTTATGTCAAACATTTCTCTTCTTACTTCATGAGGTACTGAACGTCTATGATATAAGTCAATAGCAACGTCATTTAAAGGAAATGTTTTGTCATGAACTTCGTCCTCGCCGCGTTGCGGCTTTATGAACTCATGAATTCTATCATAACTTATAGCACCATTATAGTCATTGAGGATGTCAGCGAGTGCTTTTTTGTTTGTTGCGTAATGCTTTGCAACATCTATATTAGCTTCTGTAAGAAGTTGTTTTATTTCCGAGTGTTCTAACTTAGACAACTTCCGATACATCTTTAGTAGGAAATAAAAAAATATTTTTTGAAAAAATTAGATTAGATTTTTTTAAGTTATTTTTCAAAATAATTTAATATTTTTATTTTAATGAAACACATGCAAGATTGCAAGTTCTTTTCATACAATGCTCTCGCTACTGCCATCAAGAATGAGTTCAATAATGCTTCAAATGTTAATGTTATCTTTAACAAGAAGTTTGTGAAAGAATCTAAGTTTGGTCAGTATGTCAGACCATTAGCTATCGTCATTGACCGCAAACGTTATACTTCACAAGAGTTAGCAGTAGTTTTGAAACAAAAGAGTTTCTTCGTGAATGTCAAAGATACTCATTATACTGTTATAAAGAACTCTAACATTGACTTCTTCAGTATTGCTTTAAATCTTTCCGAACAGAAAGAATATAAGAAGGGTGAAACAAATGTGAAATATTATCCTTCATCTCTGAAGACAATAACGAACAAAGATGTTATACAGAAATTCTTACCAAAGGTTGAAGAAGCTTCTATTGACATTGACGAAGGAAGTGAAATGGTTGAAGAAATAGACCCTGAAGCTATTTAAGCAAAAATATATTTTTGGTTAGTCTTCATATCGATATTTTACAACAATTCCCCAATGTATAAACTTTTCATACGCTTTTTCATAAGCTTTATATACCTTCAGAAATTTTGCATAATCTTTAGAAGCATTTAGATATTGTTTAAATGCTTTGTATGTCTTCAGAAATTTTGCATAATCTTTTACATGTTGTTCGTTCTCTTCTTCTGTCATGAGTTCCGAATATTCTAAATTCATGTTCTTTCATATGAGATAAAATTTTATAAAAAAATAAAATTAGCTTAGATTTTTTTATTCTTCCTCTTTGAAGTTGTCGAAATATTCTGTTATCTTTTCCTTCAGTAATGGTAAGTCTTCTTTGAAGTAAGTATTGTACAACCTTTGATGTCATAGTGTGTTTGAGGAAGAGTATTTTTGACAATTTCCTTTATTTGCTCATTCGGTGTCATTGAAATCGGTAAGTTTTCACGATAGAACCAATTTCTGTCAGATTTATATATCTTAGCAAGGTCGTAAAAGCTTTTGTTGTTTCTTCTGACTAAATGCAACATAACCATATCTCTATCTTCTTCTTTCTCCAACTCTTCAGCGTAAATCATATACTTATAACTCTTTTCCTTTCCTTTTGGTACTGAACGCGGTATTCTTTTCTGTATGCTTTTGTCTTTGGATTCAATGACTTCATCTTTTGCTTGAAGTTTCTTTTCCATCTCTCCACGTTCTGCTTTATATAGTTCATCTAACATCATGAAAATATAACAAGCATAACGAGGTGAAGCCCACATTGCTACAGCATTTACTAAAAGTCTATGAACATAATAACCTTTCAAACCAGGAGCCAAATTCTTGCGATTTTCGTACGGAATCTCTCCCTCGGTTTTCCGAGGGAAGCAATCATATGAGGAAATTCTTCTAAAAGTTCTTTTGTCTGTTGGTTTTCAAACCAATGATATGCTTGCTTTGTAGAACGAAGAGCATTCATTATACTTTGCATTTGGTACATGTCATCTTTGACTGAACGAATGAGTCTCAATTGTTTGTTATACTGTATGTATTCGTATTCTTCATTTATGGCTTCATGAACGATAGCAGTTGTTGTGTTCTCTGTTGTTGACATATCTGTCTTTACATACAAAATAAAAAAATAAATAAAAATAAAATTAGCGTTATTTTTTCTATCTTTCACAAAAGACCAAAAAAAACGCTTTACATGTATTTTTCAGCAACTTCGTCAAATAATTTTATAGCTTTATCTATCTCATCTACTTCAAACGTTTCTTTACCTTTTATGGGAGCACCATACATTTTCTCAAACTTTTCGAGTAGTTCTGTTTCTGCGGCTCTCATATCATTAACGAACACAACCTTGACTCTATTGACTGTAGAGTCATATCTTTGAGTTATATTATATGTCCTTCCTATCTTATATCTTTTTGTGTTGAAGTCCTTCGGTTTCTGAACGATGTAAAGTAAGCCTTCACTGCAACGTTCCGTATCGAATGAACCATAAGTTATGAAGTTATATCCAACAACTGGGTCAATCCATAACAAAACTATTGGTATAAGACTTTTGTCTATAAGATATGCTCTTGTTCCATGAAATGCTACTGATATCATAAGCTCAGGATTTCTTGTCAAAATTTTCTGAGTAGAAGCAATTCTAACACAGTCCTTCGGTTTTCTTTCCAGATGGAGATATAATGTCTGACAAAGAATATTTGTTGTATTTCTTTGAGTATCTTACGTTTAAATCACCTATTCTAACCAATTTGGTGTCATTGTCTATCTTTCTAACTGTTTCAAACTCAATGTTTGACATATATGTCTTTACATACAAAATAAAAAAATAAATAAAAATAAAACTAACTTTATTTTTTCTATCTTAAGGAAATTCATGAAAATTCAAGAGGGTAGAAATGAGGGTAGAAATGAGGGTAGATCTAACCATCTACCCTAAACATTATTTTTGGTCATGGACTTCGTCCTCGCCGCTTTGCGTCTTTATGTTAAAATAAATGGTACCATTAATGATATCATGACTGTTCTCATTCATGTCTGATTTACATCTAATGAAAAAGTTTAGAAGAATTTTCTTATTCTTTCTGGCATATTTTTGTCTTTCCAGTACTCCCGCTCTAATGGTCCCAGATGTGTTGGCTTCGACTCTCTCAAGTTCTTAGATGGTATAACATCTTCAACGCCTCCTTCATATCTTACTTTATAAGTGTCATCGTTTGTGTTATAGCCAAGTATTTCAATAACCACTCCTCGCTTTGCTTCGTCAATGGTTTCAGCAAGTTTGCCATTACTACTTTCGACTAATTTATGTCGAGGGTAAAACGCAATAGAGTCGTCGGCAGCTTTTATAAGATATCCATTACCTTGCGTAGAGTCTACGATATAATAATTTCGACTTAACCTTAAACGTTTCTTTGTCAACGGTTTGTCGTCAAGAACTACACGAACTTTTGTACCAGGAATGAGGGTAAATTGTGTTGAATTTCTGATATTTTGTGTTTGGCTTCGTTTCTTTTGTATATACTTTTCTTCTTGTTGTTGTGTCATTGAATTTGGTGTATGTCCTGTTGTAGAATGTGTTGAGGAATTATATACTTCGAGAAAATGTTTCATTGTTTCTTCGGTAAAGTCTCGCTCTTGATTTAAATCTCTGAGCGTTCTTATGAAGCGGTTTATGATGCCGAGTATGTTATGGTTATGGTCTTCAGTAGTGTAGTGAGTTATGTTATGCTTAATGAGAAATTCTGTGATTTCGTTGCTGAGGTATGCACTGTCTTGGTCTGATGTTAAAGTACTTGGGCTATGTTCTGCTACAAACTTTTGTAAAACTCTTAACACTTCACGAGTTCCTTTATTTTTCATTGGATATGCATATGCTTTACGAGTGTTAACATTAATGAAGATGAGGAATGGTTTATGTCCTCCTTTTCTGCTTTGAATGAGAGTGTCAAATTGGTATGCGTCAGGAGCGTTGGAGTAAATTGGTAAAAAGTAGTCGTAAGGGTTTATTTTTGTTTGATGTACAACATTTTTGTCAAAGAACCTTTTCACTTCAGCTCTGTTAGTAAATCCCCAACTCTTTGCAGCTTCATTGAACTTCTTAAATGACCTCCATGGATGTTGTTCGAATACTTCTTTCAAGCTCATTTATGTAAAGTTAAAGATTTTATTCTAGGCTCAAGCGCGTTCATTGAACTCTATACCATGCGAATACAGTCATAAATGGTGGCATATAATCTGCACCCGAGCCTGTTGGATTTGTTGTGAAAGTATGGACATGATTTCCTCCTGGTTCAGTTTGTCGAAAAGTCTTTTTTGCTGCATTGTTATAAGATGGAGATAAAACGTCATTGCCAGCTTTATATTCTGAGTTGTATAATGGATGGTCTCTTAATGAGTGGCTATGGTCGCCAGAAAAGTTTGTAGTTCCTGTATGAGTGTGCGCAGGTAAGTTTGCTTCAGTAATTTTCTTCGAACCCCCTGTTTGCTTTGAAGAGTTAGCACAGTATAAGAATTTGTCTACAATCTGTTCCCAAGTACCAAAACCTAAAACTGTTTCTGGATTTGTTGAATTCATTGACGTATAAATAGAACCTATAGGATATAATGTTTCAAGAATCTGAGTCTTTAATGTTTGAAGCTCTGTTTTATCTGCTTTCTTATCTAACATTGTTGGTAGTTCATGTGCTTCAAAGTTTCTGGCATGACCTTCAATGTTCCTGCAACTCTTATCTAAATTGTTAAGAGTATCTTTTACGCTTGTACTTGGATTCTCTAAAGGTGCACTTGAACCAAGGTCAAAGTTCAATATTATGTCGTCTGCTCTAACAGTAGTGAAGGATTTATGTGTATGGTTCTTGTCAGCTTTACTGTCTAATGTAGCTTGAAGTTCATTTATATCGGAGATATTGTGTTTATGAGATTTCAAAACTTTGTTCGTTGCTTCAAGTTCAACTTTGTCAGCTTTACTTTTAATAGCATCTTCAAACGTTATTTTTGCCTTAACCCTCAAAGTAAATTTTGGTTCAACTAATACACCGTTAACAAAGAAACTAGAGGCATAAATTTCATCGTTATGACCAAATGTTTCTTGTGCTTTACCCGTGTCATACTGTACAGTACAGCTTATGTCATAACCTTTAGCACGAATGTATTTATATCTTCTTTCATTAACATCTTTCGTCTTCACTTCTTCATCCTGTGTTAAATATCCATGGTAGTCCGTTATAATCTGTTCGTCTGAACTTATATAATGAACATGTTCTTTATCTGCTTTTTCGGCTAATTTCTCTTCTATCTCATTTATTTCAAGTTCATGCCTACCACCACCTCCCGAAGAAGTATTTTTCTTCAGCTCTTGAAGAACGTCCACTTCGCCATCTTTGGTGTCAATAATGAGACTTTGTGTTAAAACCTTTCCTGTCTTAATGGATGTTTGTAAAACTTCTTCTTCACCGTGTTGGGGGTCATGGTCGTCATCATATCTTGTGAAATCAGAGATGTTGTCATACATTAAGCATATCTGTCTCAAAAGTTCTGCTATTTGAAACTGGAACGAAAGATATACAGAACTTTCATCATCTCCTAAAGTCAAGTCTGCTTTCTTAAGTATTTCTTGAATGTATGCAATGAGAACAGAGTACCTTGGAAAATATTCGAACAATATTTCATTAGCTGTTGGTTTTGGTGGTTCTTTTGGAGTTTCTGTTGTTTCAGTTCCTTCTGTAGGTTCTGTTGGAGTTTCTGCATCTCTTGACTTCAATGCTCTTGCTCTCAAAGACCTAAATGTTAGAGCACCAGGTTTTACAAAGGACTTTATAAATGCTTTAATAGTTCCTGGTAAGTTATTGTTAGCATTAAGTAAGTTCCTTATGCTTCCATCATGTACGTCCATAGCACTATGTAAAAAATCTATACTTTTCTTGTAGTCAGCAATAGACTGACTGTGATTTTTTAAAGATTTGTCAATACCTTTAAGCCAATCTTCATGCATGTCTGATACTGAGCCAAGAATATCATTTGCTTCCTTTAGTGTATTTTGTGCTTTTCGTAAAGTATCCAATCCCGTACGTGCATTGTTTGCTATACGTCTTACAGTATCTATTTGACTCCTTGTTTCTTGCATCCAACCAGATAAAGTTTTAATAGTATCCGAACCATTTGAAATGAAGTTCAAAGCATTTTTAACGTCATCTAAAGCTTCTTCACCAAGTACTGCCCATATCTTTCCGATTTGGTATTGAAGAACTCCATATGAAGCAGCTGTTAAACCAGTATTTATAAGGTCCCATATCCATGATTTAGCAGTTTTTCCATCCTTTCCATCCTTTCCATCCAAACCGTTTCTCGCCTTGAGGTCCTTGTATTCCTTGTATTCCTTGTATTCCTTGTGGTCCTTGTGGTCCGGTGTCACCCTTCTCTCCTTTCAGTTCATCTTTATGTTCGTTATAATATTCTAATGTCATAAGGTGTACATCATTACTGCTACCAGCAACGCCAAGAATTTGTTTCTCATTCATGACTAAATTCTTTAGGCATTTAATGTTGTCGTCAAATCGAAAGCTCTTTAACAATTCAATGAGAACATTTAATACTTTCACTAATGAGGCATCTACTGTAGAATTTATATATTGCACCGTTCCATCATTTATGATAGGAACTTGCTTTGTTGTAATGAATGGGTCATAAGTGTTAAAAGTATCGAAATCAATGACTTTTTTAGTTTTTCCATCGTCAATGACTAAATCATTGCCTTCAATGGTTAAAGTTGAGTTTTCGTTTACTAGTTCATGTGCTCTTCTTGCTTCATTTGTTTCATACGCATATGCAGCAATAGTCATATTTTAATGAGAATAAAATGTTGTTCTATTTGCAAAGTACAGACCCAAACGAATACGGGACAGTAAAGCTACAAACAAACTTAGGTCTTCAGAATGAAGCGCTTGCTTTCAGAGTTGTTGACTTCAATACTATCGCAACTTTTGTCATAACAGATGAAACAGATTTCATAGAGATTGAAATAGATGACAAAAGAAGTTTTATAACATTTCCTAACAGAGCAGAGTATAGAATAGATAAAATTGCTGGAGTCATAGATACTCTCATAAATGAAGAAACTATTGACAACATAGATGTCGAACTCTCTTCTGAGGGAACATTGAAGTTCAGTAGCAAGAAAGAGTTCAAGATAACACGAATGAGTCATAGAGTTCAACTTCTTTTAGGAGCATACCATATGACATTTCCTTTGAAAAGTGTTGACAAAACGATTGAGATGAAATCTGTTCCATACGTATGTTATGGTAATTGTTTATACATTGAGTCAAAAATAGCTAATGTCACAGGTATTTCAGGAGTTAATAGTAAAGGTTCAGTAGAATAGAAATCCTTCTGTTATGCAGTCAATTCAATGTTCATTCCAAACGTTCCTGTCATAGCAACTCATTTAGGTAAATGGGTTCGCATTAGTCCTCATAATTTGAAAGACATGCAATTCAGACTTGTTGACTTTCAAGGCGAGCCTGTAGAACTGAAGGCACCAGTGCGAATGACTGTTGAAGTTGACTTTTTAGAAAATATTAAATGCAACAGCTTACAAGAGAACTCAGAGCTAAAAATATAAAGTATGAATGTTATGTATTAGGTCATGAACTTTGGTTGTTGCTGTTTGATGAAACAAATGAGTTAGTTATGTCAGTCAAGAGAACAGAAAAATATTGTGTTAGTGAAAACTGCACCAAGTCAATAAGATTAGGTTTGCATTATGAAGATGAGTTCGATACTGTTGAAGAAGTTTTGGATAGATATTACAAATTGCTTTAATTTACTAAAACATATTTCAAGCAAAGTTTATATTCTGTTGAAAGTTTTGTATACTCGTTCGAATATTTATACTTAAACTCAACTCCTGTAGTTCCTGGTGTTTCAATGATGCGGATGTTACCTATTTTCATGAATATGGCGTTTGACCACAGCATTCGATTTCAGGGTCGAGATAGTCAATGACACATTGTTTCCCTGTTATTCGTGAGATAACATTTTCAAGGTCCTCCTTTGTTAGAATTATTTGGTTCTTACTTATAAGATTTGTCAAAAGCTTCTTATCGTCTTTGAGTAAAATTGTTTGGTATAACTGAAGAAGGTAATGGTCTACGTTATCTGAAGGATTTGTTTGAACATTTGTGTAAGGTTGTCGTTGGCTTCTCTTGAAAGAATTTGGTCCAGTGGTGGATACTCTAACTTAACATCTGATGTAGCGTTAGCGTTTGAAGCTGTGTTTAAATTCACGGATTTCAGTTCTGGTTCTTTCTTTCAAACACTCTGAACTATAGTTCTTTATGACAATATTGTTTGTCGTTCGTGAGTCAACATTTGATGTTGGTTCAATTGGAACATTAACGGCACCAGCTAAGATGGATTTGCTTCTCATTTCATATAGAATAAAAACCTTTTATATGTATGAAATGAACAATATACTCGACAAGGGTTTGAATGTAAAGCTAACGAATGAAAATATTGTTGAATTCACTGAGACAGGTGCTGTGTATAAAGATGTAGAACTACTGAACAAAAGAGCTAAGGGAAGAAGCAGGAACATGAACAAAGGGTGGAAGCCTATAAAAATTTATGTCAATGATGGCTCAGGAGGTTCAAACATAAAGTATGCAGAAAGTTATAGAGTTTATGCTCTCAAAGGAGAAAAGCCTTCATTTAAGAACAGCTATTCTAACACATATCCTCAAAAGCTAACGGATGGGGAAGTGGATGATATGAATGACAGCAAAAATATTAACAGAAATGGCGACAGAGATGCATGGAATTTGTTTACCATCAGTCAATTGAAGGTTAAACTTTAAAACAATGTTGGTCGTTCCCATGGAATATTTTTGACTTTAATGGTATTAGTCATGATATGAATCTCAAGGTATGAACGAGGAGAGATGAGAGACTTATATGCTTCCCAAATTTCTTCAAAAGGTAATGTTATACCTGACTGTTTCCAAATGAGTTCAATATCATAGCGTGAGAAACCTTGAAAGATAACGAAGTCAGTTATGAGACGTTTTATGTTTAAAGCAAAAACGCCATGTTTGCATAAGTATTTCTACAGTTAAGTGGTAATGTCTGACTTTAGTTATGATGTTAGCTAATGGTGAGTCAGGCTTTGACACTAAACCTTTTCCGGCGAAGTCGTCACAAACGAGCAGAGTGTTTGAAGGATACTTTTTGAAGGGGTATTTTGAAAGTTTTGATAGAATGTAGTTTGTCAGTCGTTTCATATCGTAAACTCCTGAGTATTGACGTAAGTGGTGTTTGTCAATAATTCTTTCCATCTCTCAGAAGTCTTTTGCATTCCTGACTGTATAAATTCAACGATGGCATAATATTTTCTCTTACGTCGAATGTAACGTTGAAGAAATTCAATGAGTTCACTGTCTGAAACTTTAACGACAGAGGCTTGAACTTTTGACATAAATGTTTTCGCTGTTGAGTCCATAGAGTCTGAAGTTGCTGATATAATGATTTGGTCATAGTAAGAGTCGTTTCCTAAACGCTCTGTTATGAGTATATGACGAATGAGGTTAAATGTCTTACCTGAACCCATCTTTCCACAATAGAAATAAACACCATTTGAACAGAACTCATAGTCCTTACTGAAAGGAAGAATGAGAGAAGAGTTAAGTTTGTCTGTAGTTTCATTCATGTCTTCATCTACGTCATGTATTAAATGCTTCATTTTATCTCCATTAAAAATGCAAGTCAGAAATATTCAGAACATAGCACCGAGTCTAACTGACAAGAGTATAAAGATATACTATGAACACGTTATGATGAAACCAACCAAAATTCAAGAAAGTCAGTATACTTATGAATATCCAAGACACTGGGTAGAGTATGTAGGAGGTGAGAAAGCTATTGAAATCAGACAGGTTCGAAGTATTCCAGCAGGAAGAACAATATTATTGAAGAACTTTAATGTTTTGAGATATAATGATGAAACAAAGAAGCAAGATAGTTTCCTGTTGCTGTGTATGTGAACTTAGATACAGGAGATGACATGAAAGTTTTTAACACAAAGCTTCAAACGGTAGTGAGAGAACAACTACTGCGGAAGGACATCCATTACCTTCAGAAGTTACCATAGCATATAATTTTGAAACAAACTCAATAGATTTTAAAGTCGTCTCTGCAAAGAAGTCAGGTTTTACATTTAATGAAGCAGATGTATATTCGAATGAAAACTTCAAAGCTATTGCATGGTTAGATAATGACGATTGCTTTAAGAAAATATTTAAATTACAGTGACTCAAAGATGTCAATAGATGACCTTCGTGGAATGTTACCATCGACGTTTACAGTGAAGGTTCAGCAGGATTGCTTACAAGATTGTCAATTGGTGGTTTTGGTCTCGTGAGAACATTGTTATAAAATCCAGTATAAGTGAATTTGCTGAAGAATCTATATTATGTCTTTCAAACTACATGTATTCGCCGCCGAAGCATTATAGTATAA